AGTACACGAGTTGTAAAAGAAATAGTTAAAGAGATAAACAGGGTCACTTTCTGTAAACATGCGTGGGAAGAGGATATTGGTTTGCAAACTCCAGACAGATTTATTGAACTAAACTCAGTCATCACAAAAGCTTCATGGTGACTTTGGATCTGCATTATCCAAGATGATAGAACCTGAGAAAGCATATTAAAGAATGAGGCAGTGAGGTGCAATTACAATAGGCTCTAAGCTTACCTGGCTGTATAAGAGCTGTGGACTACATGATTGATGAGGATGCTAACTAAGGACAGGCTAAGAGATACATAGTAGTAGATCTCTGTATAGCTAACAATGCTTGAAACAAAATAAAATGCATCAAACTGTAAGAAAGCACTCTCTCCAGAAAATACTGTAGTTCTCCACAATCCTCTATGACCCTAAACTATTCAGAACAATGTAGACTATAATAACTAAAACCACACACTCAGGCACCATGGGTATAAAGAGTAAACCACAAAAAACTGAATAGTCTCTGGCATTCAAGCCTGTATAAAATATAGACAGGTGAAACCAAGTACCTATACCCTATACCTACTAGCATATAGTGTAAAAGCAACTGTCCACTGGGATGCCACAGGTATAAATATAGTACACTACAAAACTACAATTGATCACTGTAAGCTACAAGTTAAGAGCAGGTATGAGGACAGTGACAAGCTTGTTCTTAAGAGAGGAATCATGATTGATGCTATGAGTGATCTTTTCATTGAGATCAGATTTGATCACAGCAAGCTTCATTGTAAGAACAGAATTGATAGTGGTGATCTTTTCACTGAGAGCTGAATTGATGGTTGTGAACTCTTTGTCAAAATTAAATTTGATTGCAGTGAGGACAGAATTGATGCTGTTTGTAATCTTTGCACTACAAGCTGAATTGATAGCAGTGAGCTTTTGGTTAAGATCTAAATTGACTATAGTAAGTTTATTCTCAAGGAGGGACATTGTGGTAGGTCCAAGTTTTTTGCCCTGAGTGAACTCATGGTAGTACTGAGCTTGCTATCAAGAGCTGATTTCATGGCAGGACCAATTAGGATTTAAGACTATTTGACCCTGCAATTAGGTACCAGTACAGTAGAGGAGAGTGAGATAAATATGATAAACAAATATAAAAGCCCTCAAAATTATGCCATAGTGGATTGTGTGATTTACCAGTAGTCTAATAATAACTGGACAGCTCTCAAGTATGAAATCCTTTTAAGTCCACCTACTGCAAACTGTTATAAAAGCACAAATACCCATAGACAATTGCAGTTTCTCATGTGCTGGTAAATTGAAATATTAGTATATCATAATGATAAGAATAGAAACAGATATTGAGGTACCTCTTTTTTGTTGGGGAAAGATTGCAATTTAAATCTGGCTGTCCATCATATGTAGCAAGTAGGATATTGCTTTTTTACAGGATCAGCCATTCTGGTTGTTGTTAATTTAGTTTGTTGGTCAGGAAGAAGAAAGAGGTAATAAGAAGAAGGCCTTCAAGTTTACTGATAGCAGTAGAAAATAATGTGATTGTTCAGTTAATAGATTGGAGAAGAGGAGTGAAGATAGCCAGTAATAAGAACATATGCATAACACAACTGCAGGAAAAGACCTAGAACTCCATACATACAACTTGAATATACTCTCTGGCAATCATATATTCCATTACCCAGGCCTACCCATAGTACATACTCCTACTATACAACCTGCAGTATAAGCAATCATTAGAATTACTCATGTTCAATATCTAGGAATGATCATACCTGCCACCTGTAACTTCATTCAAGTTTCCAGTTCATATCCTAGGATTCCTGACAAGAGAGAAGGTACCAATACTGGCACCCTTATTTCTATTCAATTTGCAGATAAAACTACTTGTAAACCTGTAAATATTAGTAGTACATTATGGATGAGAACACTTATCTGTGCCTATTTATTTGCAAAATTCTGAATTTGTCTTGATTGTTTCAGAAGCTAATTTATTATTGCAAGGAAAAATAATACTAACCAAACCTGGATCACTCCCATCTGCCATATTATCCTGTATCTCTATTTATAGCTGAGTAACTACAGGGGCTGGTTCTTTTGCAACCTGTTAACTCTTCTGTTTTTTTCCAGATTAGCTTAGAATTAGAGTTCAAATTCATATAATTATGCAAGATTATCTGCTACTTACCAAGCATTGTTAGTAAGACTTTTTCAATATACCTTATAGGTCCCTCTTAAAGGTATCCACAGGTCTCCACATATTGGACCACCTATAGTATCTTATTATGTAGAGAGTTCCTTCTCAAAAGTAGATCAGAAATTTGAAAATACAATTAGTAAATGATATTAGGAAGGAGAGGATAATTGATAATTTTGGGTTGCTTTGCTTGATGATTGTGAAAATAAGATAAGAAAAGAAAAATAGAAACTCATTTAACATCAATGGTGGAGCAGGAAGAGAAGAGAAAGAAGAGGAGAAGGAGAATTATATTTAAGAACTGCATGGTATGCCCTTCCTGTCTTCTTAGCTACTGTGACAGTCTTACATACCTTGATGAGTAAGAGTATAGGTTTTAGGGCTTACTTGTAACTTCTCATTTTTTTCTTTCTCTGTGATATATTTTTTCTGTTCTCTTTGTTTTCATATTTACTTCTTCTCTGTTTTGATTTCCCTCTGATTCTTCTATTTATTTCTTTATTTCTTTATAAATTTAATTGTTCTGTTATTATTTCCTTGCCTTTGTTGCTATCATCTTCTTTTATTATTTTCTTTTTTATATTTTCTCTCTATATCCCTTATTGCTTATTTAAAGCACTACCCTTTTTGAACTAGTATTAGCTATTCTGTTATTGATTTACATCTTCTTTTTATTTAGTATTTTTCTTTTTTTTCTTTCATTTCTGTTTAAGGCATAAGTGAGAAAACATACTTGTATGCAGAGATAATCATAGCTACTCAGTTGCAGAATTATGTAGTAGTACAGACTTGATCATGGTTTGACACTCCCAGAAATACAGGACAGCTCAGATCTGATCATGGTATGCATGGCTCCAGAAATACTCTAAGGGGTATGGCTGGTACTGCCCACTCTTTATCAGATCAGATCATATTTTCAGATATATTTTACAGTACATATGGGACCACAAGCCTTATAACCGCATATTTCCCACCCGAATTCCCGACAGGCCATCTAGAAAAAGAGTCCCCCCTAGATTTGTTCAGTAACCGATTCTACACAAAGACCCAGGCCGCCAAAAATAGAAAAGGCTTGAACATCTCAGCGGGAACGTCGGTTCTCCCAACACAAACTTCAGGTACCGAATAACTCTAATACCGGTATCGAGTAGTTAGCCATCCCGTACCTCCCTTCCAATTCCCTGGTACTTGTATCTAAACTGGCTACAAATTACCGAATATGAGTGGTGACTAGTTATTACCAAGTAGATATTCCCACTGGGATTCGCTACTCTTATTTATCCAACTGATTATGAGCCTACGCCCATATTCCCTCTCAGAAATCCATGTGCCTACCCAGACAACTTGCTTCCCGGATCACTCAAGACGTTTAAGCTCGGCACACTCTGATTTCTCTTGCTGTGTCCTAGGATACGAATTTTGTTGCGAGGTGGGATCGGTGGACCAACAGACAGACACAGGTGGCGGAGGAGGAGAAGGGAACTTCATTCCTGTTCTCAGGAGCGAGCCTGTAAGCTAAATACAAGACGCCAAACAACATGTGACTACTCACTCTAACCTCAAACCCTTCAGTCATCCAAACCCCCACATCCGATGGCGTGGCATGCACCAAGGATCATCACCCATCAACGGTCAACATCTTCACTCAGGTTGATGCACATCACATCATCCGCTGTTGCCCATACACACTCAACAAATCTCCCATTCCCACTTCGTTCCGCATCCTCGATTCCTCCTGAAATGTTATTCTCTGGTTTGTATTGCTATCCCAACTGCGTGTTGGTTTTCATTCCGTGCTGATCTCCCCGGCAGTTACAAGTACAAGCATGTAAACCGCCGCCCCAATGAGGTCTTCGATCCCCGGATCGCATGCGGAAAAAATACTGGCATCGGTAAATTCGGCCGATACCCGCTGCGAGTTTTGGCCTTCAAAGTTTTGTGGGAATGCTGGACGAGGAACTAATTATGGGGCATTCCTTAAAGTAGTTGGGTACAGTATGTGCGGAATTGGGATCCTGTGAGTGTTTGTGAACTTAATATTAGAGCATGATATTATACTGTATGCCTTACCTAACCGAAAGCTTCCAAATGAGGAAGATTGGAAGTGGATCGGAACAAGAAGGGGGGATAACTGATGGCTAGAGTCGGGTATTCACCCCGCGGTCACCACCACAGAGGACGGAACGAAAGAGAGAGGAGAAAGAAATATCCCCCCTCGGTATTTTAATACACAGCAAGCATAGCTCTCGCCAGTAGTGCAGGTACCATGCTCAGTATGACCACCACTGATTCCCACTTTCACAACCCATTTGCTCCATCCTTAAGTTTGAATGGTCCCATAACTTAGGGATAATCATCACTGCGGCTGCGGTCTAACCCGATCTCAACCTTCTCCTCTATTCTATCCATTTTAAACTTGAAGGTCCGATGCCGGTGTTCATGAAAAAATACGAATTGGGAGTCGGTATGACAGATCCACCCCCTCTAAAAGTGTGGAAGTCTCAATAATTTACCCCTGCAACACCAGCAAGCATAGTGAAAAGCTATCGCGTCGGAACAAGCTTGGTCCGACATCTCACTAAGACTAACCTTATCTTATCGCCGCCCCTCTATATCCCCAATGAAAAGCCCTAACCGTCCTACCGGACCGAGGAAACCCAGGAGAACAGAGCAGTTTATATTATAGAAAAGTTCGGGAGTGAGGAGTCAGGGTATCTACCCTCCGAAGCCCAACAATCTACCATCCCACTGCGCTGTCAAGTAGCCCCGCAGACCCGAGTAAGCCCAAATTTGAAGAGTTGGATGACATTGTGATAGTAGGGATTAATGTATAGTGAAGTTAGTGGCAGCCCCCGCAGCGATCTCGGGACGCAAGACCTAATAATTGGTGAAGAGGTGTTGAACGCGGTTTTGGTATGATACCCGATTTCACTCCAACCTTAAGCCCACGAGTGCTTCTGTATTGAAAACCACTCAGGGCTGCTCAGCTCCCACCTGTGTTTCTCGGAAAAATAGCGATGATAATAATATGTACATAAGGGCATGCATCTTTGCCCATAAACTCCCCGGACCAAATAAAAGTAGCATTTCCAAAGGTAAGGTATTGCGGAAAACTATGCGATCGCGAACCAGATCTTCTCCCAACTGCACAACATGTTAGTTGAGCATTCAATTTCTTTTTTTCTTTTAATTTTTCTTTCTTAGGAGAAAAGGGTAAGTGTGGATCATACGTATTCTTCGGCTCCGGGGGGGGATTTTCCCGTTCATAAATATCTACTTCCTCCTTACCAGTCCATATATCCATGGTGGCTAGTGGCGTAAGACTGTCCCTCTTCCAGATCTTGTAAAAAACGAAGGGGGCCACAAATAGGAGAACGCCAACGTACTATTGGAAAAAACAGAAAGGTAAGTCACTGATTAAATCACCTTATGCATAAGAGGGAGGGCACTACTTTCGCAAAAAATTCCCTAGCAGAGAATTTCCCCGGGAAGAAAATGTCAAAGCCGCTGATAACAATAAAGATAGACACCATTCCACACCCGTAGTATGCAGCATAAGGCATCAGGGGTGACCGGAACGGGAGATCTTCACGAGTCACCCCCTGCGCGAGATATCCCTTTCGGAAGCGGATAGTGGCAAGGAACAGAGTCAGCCAATTGAACAAGCTGGACACAGTGGTGATGTTAAGGAACCAATCGAAGACCTAACCGATGTTGTTAGTCAACCACCCTGCCCCCCTTTTTTGCAGGAGTTTACGGGGGAACACATACAACAGAAGACTTCTCGGACATCAGCAAGAACGAAACCGTCGTGGCCAATAAAACTGCGACAACGGCAAAGTACGGGATACCCCTCTTGCTACACTTTGCAAAGATTTTGGGCGCATGACCTGTGATAGCGAGGGCGTAGAGGTTGCGGGAGGCCGCATACATGAAACTGTTACCACAGGACCAGGCGGACGTTAAGATGACGGCGTTAATAATGCTCGGGAGGACATCTATTTAATTGCACAAATGTGAGTTGAGGGGGGGAATCCACTTGTCCGGAAGGAAACAGCCAGCATAACCTACCGATCCCGGCGTTGACGATTGCAGCCACCCACGGGGAGGCTGCAGCTCCAGTGGCACCATTGTCGAGGGCGGTGGTGAGACCTTTGTCATTGTATGGGACCTTTTAGACAATTACCAGGCATTCACTCCCAAAAAAGTAGAAATCCCCCTCCATGGCAGCGAAAATCATACCAGGACACCAATAGAGAGAACACCAAAGACGTAGAAAATCAACACACGCCAGAAAGTACGGCGGACGGCCTTCGGGATGTTCCTTCGAGGGTTCAGAGTCTCACTCGCAGCGACACAGATAACCTCTGATCCGCCAAATGCGAAACAACTGTTCCAGAGTTTGATATGTCAGTCCCAGATGAATAAATTTCATATCACGCCTTAGTCTATATATAGCAATGTTCAAAAAGGGATTGGTTCAACTAACGCGTTCACGAAAGACTTCAAAAAACCCAAGAATCGACCAGTGCTACCGGGGACGAGATAGGCCCTCATGGCGCCGGGTTTTTTCCTGAATAGTGTTAACATAGACGCTACAACAACGGAACAGAAGGTAGAGCCTTTGCGCAACGAGTTCGAAGTGTGCGTCCCATAGGGCACTGGAACAGAACAGCGCCTCAGCCTTCAAGTAGACGAACGACAATAAAGATGAGACTTCACCCAACCCTTTATCTAGCTCATCGAAGTCTAGTTGCGCAAAAGCCCTAGTAACACGAACCAGTATCTAAACCCGATGCGATCTTTGTTCGGCCCGCCGCCGACGCAGAGAATCACCGACAAGAACAAGAGGCCAATGATCGTTATGATTTTAACACTTGCGAAGATGAATTCGGCCTCTCCGTAGCCCTCGACGACTAGTTATTGTTAGCTATGTTATCTTCCAAGCAGTTCTTTTGCTCCCAATGGCTTGTTAAGGTACCGAAGATATTGAGTAGGAATATTACTGCTAGAATTATGACAATCCATACGGCTTTGTTCACCTTCTGAGGTGTTAGCAGTGGAAAAGGGTTGACTAACGGAATGTTTCACGGCACTTGCATCGTCGGTCCAGTATTCTATCAGTAGTATCGCGGCGGATACTTCCGCGCAAACTGTCATAGCTGCCCCGAAACAGTAGTTCCATCCCATAGCAAACCCCCATGAGGGGCCTAAGTAGCTAGCCGATCAGTCAGCAACATCCCTTAGCTAAGTTCGTCCAGGGTGTTGAAAGAAGACAGCACACCGATTTGCATAGACGGTCAAACCGCCAGGAATAGGAAGCCATGTAGTCATCTACCCCGAATTAGCTTACCCCCGATCAAGAAGCAAGGCCCGAGGGATACCAAAGGAAAAAGGAAAAAAGAAAAAAAAAAACTCACCTCTCCAATAGCCAACATCAAAGAATAGACAACGGTCCCAACTATAGAATAAGCCAAAAGAATGCTCAATGGTCCTGCCCTGACCAGTGCAGCACCAGAACCGACAAACAATCCCGTCCCAATGATCCCCCCAATAGCGATAAATTGAACATGTCTAGCCTTCAGACCTCTCCTCACATGTCCAAATTCCTTCTCATCCACTAACCCGGTATAGGGAACCGGTTGATCAGACTTGTTACGCTCGAGGTCCGAACCCTCCTCCCCCGTCTTAACGGATACGGGTGTGGGGACTCCCTCGCCTCCCGGAGTGTTAGACATGGCCTCCTCGTAAGTTATAGTGTACGGTAGTGGGTTCGAACGATGACGGGTCCGGGAGATGGAATAGAAGGAAAGGGTGGGCAAAGGGGAGGTCAAGAGGAATAAAAATGGGAGGATCTAGTATGGTTATATATTAGTTTGCAGGATCCGCTAAGAGATCGGAGGATATGATGTATGATAGATAGATTTACCGATGATTGTCGTATAGATGGGTGTCGTAGTCTAAGTTGATAATCCTCCCACGTTCTGACCTACCCGCTGGGGAGCCGTAAGCAATGCCTTGCATGGCTGAAATTGGTAATTCGCTCTGGATTTAAATCCGAATACCCAACATAACCCAGATGAAATTGACAGGTTGACTGGATTGTCCCCTCTGCATAAAACTATTACCCAGAACTTACGACCTGACACCTACATACAATGCGTTACGGCTTGGCTTTTCAATCCACAAGTACGTCCAGTGCCATACATCCCCAAATTTACCTACACTCCTACCCTGCATTTCTTGCAACATTCACCTCGCAAACACCACGGTCAACTCTAGCTCCAAAATTCCCTTATTTAATCACTCATTAAAATTAAACCCAATCCAATCCCCACTGGTACGCAGATCGTAATTTAACGGCAGCAGAACAGCCAGGAGCCTTAAGTGTGAGGTCGGAGGGAGGGACCAGCCCACCCCCAGTCTGATTGCTTGATCTGGACTTGCCTGCAGTATGGCTCGGCTAATATACAGTATGAGCTGGGAGGTTGTGATATGCTAGTAGAAATAGAGCATGGTCCCACTGAGATATTTTTTCCCTTCCTTGCTCTCTTGAATTGTGCGCTTTTTATTTTGGTTATTGTTTTTGAACTGTTTTACACGGCCAGCTGTGGTGAGGCCCTCCGGTAGAGGTGTTTTTCCGGTTCCTTCTTTTTTTTGTTTTTGGGGAGGTAGGGTTAGGATGCTCTCGGTAGATGTTGAAATGGTGGTCCGCCGGCCGGCGACTTCGCTTTGGAACGGAGGTTAAGACAGTAAGAGAGAATGCAATTCTCTAGACTGCAGCGCAGGGACATCCCCTCCAAACTCAGCCAGACACCCGCCACCTCGGATGGGAAGGTAAGAGAAAGGATCGCCCCTCCGACACAATACAGTCGCACCCCGCTATAACGAATGCCAAAAAATCAGGATTTTTCGTCCGTTATAGCGGGGTTTCGGAAGGAATCCCTTATAGCAGGTGCTGTGTGTATGGGAGCAGGGGGGGTAAATTCTTAGGGGATTCGTTCGTAATAGCGAATTTTCCCGTATAGTAGATCCCTTATAGCGGGGTGCGACTGTACCTATTTACAGCATCGTCTACGCAAAATCACCCCTGGTCAGGCATTCCCGGCACTCAGGCTATAAGCGAAACTGAGGTGATCCCGGCTCTTACTATCCGAGAGCTCGTGGGTGCACCCACACACGAAGGGCAAATCTTCACCCTTTTTCCGATGATTGAAAAAAGTCTGGCGAACCTTCAACTACGGTACCTGTAGTGTGCAATACTCCTGCCAGAGCTGCTACACCGCATCTGTAGGGGCACAGTACTACCGTTGGAACAACCAAAGTAGCCTGCGTGCCAATCGTGTCTCATCGGCCCCAACCCCTATATACCATATATAACCTACAGATAATCCCAAGGTGGACAGAACAACCTCATCCTCTCTCAGGAGAGAAAGCTGGCATAAGGTAGGGTGCAAAAAGAGAGGGAGAGTGCATCCTGGGGCGAGAGAGAAAAGAAGTACCAATGATAACATCCCATACCCTGTACGAAACAGGTTAGCGTAGCGGGTACAGTACAAGTATAACCAGAAGCACCCGTCCAGTGGTTGCGATGCCCGTACTAAGGAAAGCACTTGGATCCGCGTCTAGGGGGTCTAGCAGTAAGATATGGAGTAAAAGCCAGAGCTAAAGTTGGGACCGGAGAGATCTCTATATTATTGAAGAACAGAGTGGTGTGAAACGGGTGAGCACAAGTTGTGACGCCAGTGCATGATTAGGTTATGCCTCCCGCTCTCTCTTTCTCCACCGTGCAGATTAGGGGGTTCGTAAGTTAGCTCCCGATACAGCAACGTATCATACTGCTGTATCTTCAAATCACTAAATCAATTCCCAAGCTATTATACCAGGCAAAATACACCTTCCAGATCTACGACAAGCACCAGCTTGATACACAGACGCTATAAATCTCCCTTTTTGCGGAGAAAGCACAGTCCGCTTGCTACTTGGTGTTACACAGAGAACGATGAACCTCTCAAAAATTTAAGAATGATTACTCGACTACTATTTCCGCGCTAGTCGCTAACACTTCCCCAACAGTGCCGTGGAATTCAGCTTCTTCCCAGGTAAACTCGCTACCAGCATACTATACTGTACAAATGCCGTACCATGGACTTTGGATTCCGGTATCTTGGCCAAACTCGCAAGGAAATTAAGTTAGAGTACACATGAACCCAGGACTCGCCTACAGGCCCGGCCAGGATAGCACGGTTTGGCTTCACAGCAACCTTCAAAAAGCAATCACTCCGGATGGCATCGCACCCTTCAATCGATAAGGTAATTCTCCCCCCTTCTACCCAGAGGCAGTGGAAGAAAGAGATTCCTTGGTTCGAAGAAAGTAGCTGCCAGCTTTGTCTGTGGTTTGTGCATCGCGCGGTTTAACATAGATGAAGGTATCCATACGCCCACTACAATAGACAAGTGATCTAAAACTTATATAAAACGTAAATAGTCGATTCCGCTAGCTAAGCAGCCAAGGAGCTCAGGAGAATAGCGCAACTTATTCACGTATCCATAGATGGCAACCAGCTCTAATTTGTTAGCTAATTCGTTTACTCCCTCCCAGCCCGTGTGATAAGCTATGATACTTGTTGCACTGTTCCGGGTATCCACGCATACCCAACCAACACTGAAAATACCGTACAATCCGCGAGCTTGTCTATCTGCCTGTAAAAGAGTACCGTGTTGGACATCTGAAATCGAGCCTCCCAGAGCGAGAACCAACAGAGAAACGGACTCGATAGGACTGCTCGAAACCAGCTGCCCCGCAATCCTGCAAGCTCGAATATTTGCCCGAGCTAGTGTTAGTTAAGAACAGTAATGCGGACACTTTTGGGCAAGGGAACATGCATACAAATTTACGCCAAGGGCCTACCTATTGTAATGTAAATATTACTAACCTAACCAAGGGGAACAAGTGCGTCGGTCTCAAGTGCCGGCCACGATAATTATCCTTCAGGTGTATCGTAGCAGGCAGAACCTCCCTCCAGAGACACACCCCTGACGCCACAGGGAGCCGTTTTCGAGACTATTGCTACTTATATATGATAAAGTAAATTTGAATATGATACCGGTACCGTCCACCTGTGAAACACCCTGAGCCGTAACCTATTTGAGCCTCCAAACGGTAGAGCCAGATCGCACAGTACGGTACCGGTAACTCGATGAGATAAAGAGGGTGCTCGAGCGCGAACACGGTTACCCCCGCCGCGATAAGCATTTTTTCCAGAAGCTATTTGGAATCTGCCAACTATCAGGTCAACTAACCCGGGTGAAACTGCAAACTGACGGTCGATTGCGAGACCCCCTTCCTTCCCCCCTTCTCTACCGGAACGATGGGTTCGAGAGTAAAAGCCTCGCTGATGGAGTCCCCTCCGGGTGCAGAGAAGGAAGTTGGCAGGCTGCTGCTAGTGTGTGGGTGAGGAGAACTCGCTTTCTTTTTCTTGGATGGCCAGAAGTAGAACAGTTTATTATACTTCCACTAACGCCATCATTACGTTTGGCCGCTACGGCTACCTGCCGATCCCCACCCGTAGGCTTCTGTACGAGTAACTTATGTACCATACTTCATGATACAACCCATGCCATGCACTAAACTCTCTCCCCCGCCCGTCCTATTCAGCACCCTGCGAGCTTGTTAGGATATCCACATTCCTTCTACCCCCCATTCCTTCCTATTGATTACGAACGTTGCGGATCCGGCAGTAGCGTGGTGCGATAGCTTAGCTTTCAAAGATAACGGGACCAAGTGTCAAAACGGTCTTACGTGACCTTGTCCTCAGGAGCCACCCGCTTGGGCTCACTACCGGTATAGAGAGTTCGGGCATCCGACCGTTAGCCCCGGAGCTATAGAAACCCGACACAGGACTAGCTCGATTTTAGCAATTTGTATTCCGGCTACATGCAGGCAGACAGCCCCGGATGCATGTACCGGTATCGCGTGCTGGCTGCCCTGTAGGAAATAGGGAAAATCCGGATTTTCGGGGCAAGTTGGACGCTATTCGATGATTTCATACCCAAAGGAGTGGGACGAGAATTCATGTTCGCGGGAAGGTGAAAATGGTGATATTATAGCACTGCTTTCGCGGTAAGGAAGTACAGTGCACCGTGCACCCCACAGTAATCCGCAATCCCCGAGAGCGAATTTTTCATAGAACGTGGCGGTGTAACACAATTGCGATTTTCTACCTTGCGCTCTCTTTGCCAGGAAAGTCCCGAAAACCTGATAACGGCAGCTTCTGGGGTCAGTATGGATAAATGGGTCATGTGAAACGAGTTCCCAACCCACGAGTCTCCTAGACTCGTAAACTGGCGCTCCGGGATAGAACCGGGAGGCCGAAGTCGCGAGTTCGTACCGGAGGCTTTGGGCCCGAATTTAGTATAGGGGCTCAAATACGCATGGATATTCTGCCATATCGGTACCGATAATACGGGTTTTTTGTTCCTATCATATGCTCGGGGAAGATGAACGAGTACATTACCGTAGACGAAGTGACTTGCCAAGAAAGTGTCGCTCAACTCTACCGGTAACTTAGTCTACTCATAGCCCGCAAAAAGGATTTTCAGTTACCCCTCCGATGAGGATCATGGATCTACTGCAGGATAGAGTGGGTGACCCCCTGGACATCAGTAAAGAGAAAATAGGGCACGTTACTTACAGCTGGTTTCCTTGGCAAAAAGAGTTGACAGATATTTGCAAGGAGATCGACCTGTAATGACACAACGCTTGCGAAATCCACATGCTATTCCTCAACCCTCATAAATATCCACCTATTCTAGAGCACCCGCAGCGGCCCCTCATCGTACCTTACTTCAACCCAGACGCTTGCAACGCACCGGACCCCCTGTAACCGGGCCAGACAGAAGCGAATCATTTCGTACGTGGATTCTGCTCAGATCCTCACTAGAGAATCTTCACCGAAATCAAAAACTCCGAACTCAGCGCAAAATGGGGAAGATCCAACATGCTGTGCTCTCAGGAACATTTCCTAAACTTCCCCTTCATATCTCTTCGCTCATTTTCTCCAGAGAAACTTGTGTCCCGTTACCAGTTGGATAGCCCTGCCCCTTTGCCCCAAGAGCATCTCCCCTCCAGAGAGTCGATTCACCCTGCTATTACTCACATCAGAGGTGAAAGTGATGGGGGCCCTGCTGGCGCTCCCCCAGAGCTACGCGCTATCGAATGTGCGGGAAATATGACTGTGTCTCTTTCCCTCGACCCCCACGTTGAGGAATTTATTGCGAGGCAGCGGGCCAGCGCACGTCCTCGGCCTCCATATTGGCAAACCCAGTGCCATTGGACAATAAGACCCTTAGGAGATGCAGTGGGAAATTGTCATTATGGACATTCCTGCCTCTACGGACATGACGGTGATGTTTATGAGGATAATCTGAGCGTCTGCTACACCTTTGAGAATGGCAGGGCATGTCCAAACTTTGTCTCACAAAGGACACTGGGCCCATCTCTTGGTGCCCGAGCTCCTTGTTCTCCTACGCTTCCACCAGACCCCCCCCCGCCCGGCTGCACAGGCCTCAGCACGGCATCCCGAGCCATGACCAGGTTGCGATTTCTACCGAAGCTTCTGCTAACACTGACGAAACGCTATTCCGTACCGAACCTCTTGTGAGCGTAGCAGATTTTCTCAGTTATTACAAAAATAAATATCCGGCTCTGACGATCGAGGATATCATTGCCGGGATGGAAGCACAAAATGCCTCGAACAACAAATACACCCAAAGTCATGTTCAGGGGAATTGACGCTCAAACAGACCCGTTGGAATGGGGTGCGGGTTTCATGAGATTTTGGTCACTTTCTTTTACAAGTTCAGGTTTTCTCTGAAACTTATCCTTTGGTGGAGGCTTTTTTTTCTTCTTCTATTCCCCCCTGGTGAAAAATCTCTTGTCGAGAGTATTACCAGGTTCCCAAGGCTGTGATGGAGGTTCTACAAATCTAACGCTCACATGTGTTGGACGTCGATTGAATTTTCCAGATTTTGAAATTTCCGGCGCACTTCGGCTGATTCACTTCTCGGCCTGATCTGCTTCGCAGTCCAATATGTTAACTTCATATTGGGCCCTTGTATTTAGCTTTCGCTAAACCCTTCCGTTGTTCAGGGGTAAAATTTCCGTATATAACTGATAGGTTACGGCATACATTCCTAGAGCGCAAAAAGAACATATCGAGACTCGCAAAGAGCCGATAACGAGCAGAACAGAGGGTATCTTTCAGCGCCCCAAAGAGGGGTGAACTGAAGAAACTTCCTTGAGACTCTCAGAAAGCAATTGTGACACTATCACGAAGGGTAGATCAGAAACACCGCCGACATGTATCATACGTTCATCAACTTCGCTCCCTCCTCGCTAAGTTTAAAAATCCTCCCCAAGACAGAAATCACTTACCCTTGTGTCAGCCTTCCTCCATGCTAGCGCCAACACGAGGCGGTAGGGAAATACACGATTGTCCGTTCCTTCCTCCAAGCTTGAGCGAGCCCATACAGGGTCCCCTCACTCTTGCATTTCCAGCCCTCTCGGCCTACGAGATAACTCTTGGTTCCTCTCATTGGTGAATTCTCTTAGCTAGCGAGGTAATCTTGGCTGAACGACCACCCTGTTCGGAATGTTGGTCTACGGATATTCTGGTTAATTTCTCTGCCGGGTATCATACCCGTAAGTGCCATTAACCAAGATAGGCTGATAGGTCGGGAGTGAGTCTGGGGAGAACCAGGTTTCCGGGACGATTCCCTAACCCTCCGAACAGAAGCAGGAGTGCCGATAACTAGTATTGGGTATGATAATGTAACGCCATTATCACTAAAATACGGCCCGTACGGCTTCTCACGAGCAATGGCCGACCATGTCCAATTTTGCAACGAGGCCAACTCCAGATTAACACCCCGGTCGTAGGAGCAGGGGGGGTAAAGAATAAAGAGGGGTAGGTAATACACAGAAATCCAGTGGCAAAGACAAAATTTGATAGGACCGCTCCCTGTACCCCTCGTTTCTTTCTCCTTCCTACCACTGTGCTCAAACTTTCTATTTACCATTCTTACAGGAATTCCCCCTCCGGCAGGGACAGCGGGGTATCATACCCTGTCATTTGGGCTCTCAGGACTCAGAGTAACTCTAGGAACCTCAGATTGGGCATCACATAGAGCTTCTCGTGTTCGCTCATGACGTCCAAAGGTGTCCCGTGCTTCCAAATCCTCCCCCCCCCCCCCAACCCGTTGCACCCAGAGGGCAAACAATGCCGCCAGATTATATGATTATATGATACCCCAAATCAACAGCCGGGGGATTCCCGCTAATGAGCTAAACTTCGGCTCCCCTGCATTTACCCCGCGCCGGGGAAAAGCTGTGCTGACAGGCGGGAGGTGTCACGTGCTTTTGGAAGGTCGTTGCCCGTTGTCTAAGACATGTTTTATGGCGCCTCTATTATACTCGTAATTGTCACGCCAAACCTCCGTTTTGATCCCGATTAGGGCGCGTCTGGTCGTCCCGAGTTTTTCAAACCCTGATAATCACAAAACCTGATTTGCAGGCTGCAACTGAAATAATCGCAAGTTGTTATAATTGGGAGTTTTCACACTCCCAGAGGTGTCTGGTCGCCTGAAAAATCCATTCCAAAAAGGTCACTCAAAAAAATCTGAATAATTAATGTGTGAAACACATTGGCACCTGTATTTCAATACTTATTTTTTTATTTTTATTTTTTTACTCCACTATTGGTAGTGGGAGTGGGTTATTGTAGCCAATGCGTGCCGCTCCAAAATGAGAGTTTGTGAAATACTGGTCAGACCAGTATTTCAGAAACCTTTCATTTTGACATCATTATTGCGTTTTGAATATTGTGTTTTGGTGTCAACCAGACATGCCACTCAAAAGCGAAATAGCATTTTGTGACAAACCTTCATAACCGGGGTCAAAATGAAGGTTTGAGGTGGCAACCAGACGCGCCCTTAGAGGTTTGCAGCAAAACTCTATTTTAATCTGGAGTGGCATGCCTAGTTGACACCGAAGCCCAATAATAAAAATGCGGTAACGGGCTCAAAATGAAAGTATCCAATATTTCATGAAATCACATTGTGAAAAGCTCCTCGACAGGTACCCAGACACTTTAACAACACCATCACCATCACCATCACCAACCATCAACCAGCAATAAAAAAAAATAGGAAATAAAAACAAAAAATAGATAGATCTCAAAGCCCAGATGCCAACACTTTCTTCCCAATATTTTTATTATCTCATCTGAGTGAATTTTACCAAATCGGTCCTCCCAATCCACATGGCGTGGCCCTGGAGGAAGAAGTATGATATATTTCTCGGCTTTTATCCGTGTGTCAGCCAGACCCACCAACAGATACCCCCATTCGGACAGATTATGTGAACTCGAGATATGGAAATTAAAGCCGCAGGATGCAACTTGTGTTTTTGCGACTTTGGTTAGACTAGCGCTTCCCGGAATCGAGGGCTCGCCAGACGCGCCCTTGGTTGCAAATTTGGGAGTACTGTACTTAACTGTAGTGGTGTGGTAGGAGTGACGAGCGGTGCGGCAGGCAGGCGGGCTATGGCGGGTTTACTACCAGCAGTTGATAGGGCAACGGTAGTTCGCGAGCACGTATCATATGATAGCCCAGGAGGGAAAAGCGCTTATTCTCACCCCAGAAATCCTATCCTTGTGCCCATACCGCAACAGTTGTTTAGCTGCAGAGGCTGGGGCCGAATCTAGCGGGATTCCAGGTGATTTGGACTGCGATGAGATCTCGTGAAAGCTAGGTCTAGTTGAGCAATCCGATCGATATTAGCTCGACGGCAGAGCTCTTTCTCCTGCTGCTCCTTCTGGATGATAGAAATCCCGAGTGACCGGTCATGAAAAAGTTCAAATCCTCGGGATAATCATCCATGTACAAAATCAGTAGAAAGAACTCCTAAAGGTTATTACATAACCTGGAACCTTAAAGCTGCCCACTCAGCTGTCCCAGGGCCTGATAATCAACTTCTTCGCCGAAACTCTCCCCTCCTTCAACCTCATCAACGCCTCACTCACAGCCCCCAGACCACCCGGCACAACCATTATCTCGGGAGTCCTAATCTGATTGGTCTCCAACCAAGTGCCGATAACTTTATAAAAGGGCACGCTCAATTCCCTCAAGTGTTGCGGTGCCGCGAACACCGCCTTCCACTCGGACCCATCCGGCTTCCGCGGGAACCGACTCCTATCCTCCGGCACGGGCAGTACACCAGCCAGATACACCGGGTGCCTATCTGCCAACGCTCCCAAGGCCGTAGCGTACGTCTCGTCACTGGATATGGTATCAAACGCGTACCTCAGATCCTCGCCGGAGATTTCCTTGATCTGCTCCGCCAAATCGCGAGTATGTCTGTCGAAGACGTGCGTTGCCCCCAACTTCGTCAAAAGCTCGTGATTCTTTGCGGAAGCGGTGGTGATGATCTTCTCGAATCCGACCATTTTTGCGTACTGGATGGCGAATTGACCGACGTTGCTGGCTCCGCCGATTATCAGGATTGAGGTCGTGCTCGGAGGGTGCGGGCGAGAGCGGGCTTCGAGGTCGTGTGGGGGGTGCAGACCTAGGCCCGTGTGGTGGAAGAGGCCGATCAGGGCTGTGAAGCTTGCCAGCGGGATTGTCGCGGCGCGGTCGTACGAGATGTGGTTTGGGATTCTGCTCATCAGGTCATGGTTTTGTACGGCGTATTGCTGGAAGGCGGATTGGTCCCTGTCTTCTAGCGAGGCTTGGAATAAGCTATCACCATGTCTTGCATTAGTACTCGTATTCGGTATTGCTTGAGGTATAATAGTGGGGGGGGAGGGGGTGGCTTACACCCTCTCACCGACTTTGAGACCCGCCACCTTGGATCCCAGGACAGTGACATCTCCCGCGACATCGGACCCTAGGATTTGTGGCCATGTCGGGTTGACCACCAAGTCGCACTCGATTCGCTTCCAGTCGACCGGATTGACTAGCGTACCATCTTGCATTAGCTAATCATCATCCCCATCCCCATTAAAAGAAAAAAGGTAGAATCGGACACCCTCCCTCACCTCCAGCACTAATAACCTTAACCTGAACCTGCCCCTCCGAAGGGCTTGGAATCGGGCGCTCCCCGAGAACGGGTAATTCACCCTTGCTTTTGTACAACGATGCTTTTTGAACTGTCATTTTGGTGTTTGGCTTCTTGCTGCGCGGATTTGGGAATTCTTCGCTACTCACCAGCAATTTCTCATAGCCTACCTGCGTTCATGATATAGGGTATGTCTTTGATGAAGTGATGTCAATGTGACTGAAAGTTTAAACATAAGCTAGTGCTATATGCGTGGAGATTTTAGGACGCCGCGGAGTTGTGGGAGGTTGCGGGAGAACACCCTTCCCGGATAGCGGTAGTCTATCGAGTACTATACTCGAATTTGGACTAATAGAGAGTTTGCGTAGGTAGACCTAGGTGGGAGTTATTAACGATGTCACTAGGGGTTGCCACTCGCATCAACAGCCCATCAAACTCCCGACAATTGTTGAGTTTCTTAAATTCCATGTATTTAAGAGGTCAATCCATCAGCCAATTCTTAACTTTCATGAAGTTTCTCTTCTCAGGATTGTCCTTGAGAAGAATAGCTACAAAATCATACCTGAATAGAAGCGTAAAAGTGCAGTTCAAGTGGGCATTTGTGGTCCTCAATTCCAGGTCCGATTTTCGGGTTTTTACACCTTGACCAGGTGGGACCAAAGAACCAGGTGGCCAAGCCTTATTGTTAACTTATATTAACACCACCTAGGTCTCACTGCGCAAACACTCTAATACAAGTAGCGATCATCGAAGGTGTAGCCAGGCCGGCATGAGTCATTTGTAATCACTCGGTGCTTACTACTTAGAGTATGATAGATGTTGAAAAAGATGCAATGATCAAGTTATATACTGGAGGCAAATGAGAGCGAGAAGTTCAGATAGTTTTTCTCAAAAGAATTACACACACAGGTCCTAGGAGGAGGGGGGGGGGGCGCTATTTATGCTCTAAAGCAGCAACATATATCAGCAGCAGAGAAGAAGAAAAAGGGAACAACGTAGAAGACAAGAGAAGTGGATGAGAACGTCATTTCATATCTGCGGGGTGGATTGAGTAATGATGATATGAGGAAAAAAACCCCAAATGGGGTAAGTCAAACTCAGGGACCACGACCAGGGAGCCAACACTAAGGGAGAATGACCAGTGATGTCGTACTCTAAGACGTAGCAAGTACATATCTGAAAGCACAATTTCAACAATAGAAGAATTTCGATGGAGACTGTGGCTACCCGTGCCAAGGTTGTGGCGGGGTAGTAGTTTCCCCCAACCGCAGCAGAATCACCGAAAAACGGGACCATTTCTGAAATCAGACAGAGAGTAGCAATCAGGTAGAATAAAATCAGTCAAGTCCGCTAAATAATGCTATCGATGCCCTCCACAACCCCCAAGGAGTTGAAGCTATTATACGACGCCCCTCATCCCAGAGGAAACCCATTTTGACCTCCCAACCAACCATCACACAAACAGCCCCCCAAAAATGGATCCCTTGTTAGCCCTATGTACGGACACGGCACAGACGCCCTATTTCCCGTTTTTCAGGTTAGCCGGGTGATAGATGCCGCACAAATGCCGGTAGACTCGTATGTCCCCAAGAGGAAACCCCCGTGATGCGATCCCTTTATCCTCTAGTCGGGCTCATAGCTGGAGGAGAAGGGGGTACCGCATAATTTGGGAAAACCCGAAATCGCGCTAGAGCAGTTAAGTAAAGCTTGGCCCATTAGGCGGGTGAGAGTAAACTTCTTTAAGATACTCTTTCCCACGAAAATGTAAAAACTTTGGTAAAAAAACCGCCCTATAGCAAATTATTACCAAAATCTAACTCTAGAGGGCAACTCTCCTGCAAATCCCCCTCGCCTAAAGAGCCACCCATTGTTTGACTACTCTAGCGTGATTTCGGGTTTGCCCAAATAATGCGGTATATGTTAGGTTATGGAACCCAAGTGAACGACAACAATCAATTTTCCCCCTTCACAACCCGCCTCCACCAGCGTGAAACCCCCTTCTCGCGTCTTAAAGGTGCCGGTTTCGGGCCCTATTAATTAATCCCTCTCGAATCGCTTATTCGGAGGATAAATATTCCTCCGCGGAACGTTAGATGATTGTCAAGGAACATCAATCTCCATGGAACTCCCCAACGGCAGCATACTTTACTACTAAAAATCTATTCCGGGAGTGACGACCCAGACCCTATCCCTTGGGCGGTCTAAAACAGTCAAAAATCGTCACAGGCACACTAAGACAGTCCAAAAAATTATTCGAGCTTTGTGATTTGCTGAGCGTGTTAGGGCTTGGTACGAGTGCTGAGTCATTTGAGTCTTTAAAGAACCCAGGATCAGATTTTCTGACCATGTTTAGATGATTGTTGCCGAATCTATCATTAGCGCACTGTGACGATTTTTGACTGTTTTCAGACCGCCCAAGGGATAATAACACGGAGAAATCAAATGGCTTGGACCAAGTCAGGGCAATGTGGAAAAACACTGGATGATAGTATTGAGCTAATTTCGAAAAAAAAACAAAAAAACAGTGGTGATCAGTAATAAATAAAGATGCTACAGGCAGGCTTCTCGGCAGGACGGTAGCACTATAATTGCGATGGAATCCCTATCTAGAACATGAACCGCAGACTGGCGGCAACTTAGAAAATGGAGGATTGAGGCACCAGTACTAATTAGAACTAAAGTGTTTAGCTCAACTGAGCGATAGGTTAGTATGCATAGGAATGGCCGTATCACATTATAAACACCCTATCTATGATATCTCCCCTACAAATCCGGCGCTGTACGAGTACAGTACCTAAGCCAGTACGAGAATATTGTCTGTCGCACCAAAATCCTCGCCAACGCCTTAGGAGCATGACTGCCGGAACATTAAGGAAAAAGCAACAAATATCCACGAGTTTTGACGTCTTACCGTCTAGTGTGTGAAATGTACATAGTTGATTATTCGCGTCGAGAGGAAAGTTTTAATAGCGTGGTCGTAGGCTAAGGTATCATACTCGGGTAGGTTGTGATAACCTAGGCGCATAACTGTGTTTCACTCTGCAGTACCGCGTTGCGCCCGAGTATTACTCGAGTGCAGTACTAAAACCGGATGTGAATCCTGTTTAATATCAAGTGATTGGGTACCATACCTGCATACGGCCCAGATCAGTATTCAACTACAACCACAACACCACTCCATTTCAGCACAATGCCATGTACCAAATTCGAACCCCACATACCCAGCTACTCCTCTTGAACCCTTCCTATTACAATTCACCGTACTCTGGGTAGTCCGCAGCACTCGTTCTTCCACCTGTATTGTTGAAACGTTTTCGTTATTTCACATCACCCAGATCCAGTAAAAGGGCACAATTTTGGCCGTATCCAGTTGCGATCCTTTTTGGGCCGCGCTTTGGTATTGCGGGTGCATCTAGTATGTCGACACGGTGGCCGATTCCCCCAACAACCCATGACTGTCTTTAGAAGGCATAAACCTCCTCTCCTTCCCAAAGTTAGGCGCATCCTTCGCCATTTCTTGCACCTTCCCAAAATCATAATCCTTCTCAGGCAACAAGTCGTAAATACCACGAGCATACTCAGGCCTAACGCAGTAGCACTGCGCAAGATATTTCATCTGAATAACCGGATATTCTACTAACCTTAGGAAAGCAGCGGTGTTGTGATGGAGGTCTACACGCTCTTTCTCGCCCATGACACGGGCATAGAGTTCTCGCGCCTGGTCGTATTCTCCCGGCTTGCCTTCAGAGTAGTGGCGACGTTGATGGGAGGCGACGTTGTCGGATGCCTCATTTGGGACTTCAGCTGTGTCCGGGCGGAACTCGTTGACAAAGCTATTGGGGACATAGTGCGGGTCCCCCCGAGTGTTCCCATCGCTGCGGAGGTGACCGTCAAAGCTTACGCTTGCGCAGGAGCGGGACATAAATTGGCAGTTTACTAGGCGGGGTCAGCACGGAGGGGGAGGTGGGAGAGTACACCTTACCCGGAACCTGGTGAAGATTGGCGCCGATACGGTGATACTGAGCATCACGGTAGTGGAGCATTCTGAATTGGAGGAGCGTGTCTGGACTCTCCTCGATACCGGGGACCATACTTCCGGGAGAGAAAGCGGATTGCTCTACATCGCGGTGATAATCTTCGGGATTTCTGTTCAAGACGAGTCTTCCAAAATCTTGCACCTATCGCCAAGTCAGTAGAAGGTACGAGCACTCTCATTTTTCCTAGGAGACCAACGGGAAAGTCGTGCTTTGGCCAAACCTTTGTTACGTCGAAGGGATCGAAGCCAAGCTTCACCGGGTCGGCCTGTTCGGGTTTCATGATTTGAACTTTGGCCGTCCAAGTGACTGGCTCTCCCTTCTCAATGGCTTGCCAGAGATCCCTTTTAGAGAAGTCGGGATCCTCGCCTGTGGATTCTTAGCCAACTCTCGGTCCATATCAGCGAACTTTGGGACTCACCGCAAGTCTTAGTAGCTTCTCCCCAGGTGAGCTGATGAGAGCCCTGACCGCAGATAAAATGATACTTTATGTAGACAAATTTGCCCTCCCCATTAACCCTAGCCCCCCAGGAACAACTTAGCAAATCTCGTACGCAACAAGAATCGCCTATACACACCATTTAAAGGTGTGGCAGCCGAATCCGTGCATTTTCCGCCAGCCTTTTGGATGCCCGTGGTTACTGAAAAGCATCATCCCGGCATGGTTGCTGGTTCCCTACATCAGTCCCATTCCAGTCACCTCGCACTCACAAAATCGCACTCACCTCTCCGGAACATTAGCTAGAAAGTCAAATGTAGCGTTATGATCCAACAGGAAGTTGGCAGGGTTGCGCTGTTGAGACCGGATGGCATCCGGTCCTTGCATCGGGTCGCGGCAGAAGAAAACGGGCTACATATGTGAGTGGGTGTTAATATCAACCCGTCCATTGAAAGACACAGGCACTAACCCAATTAAGTCCAACGATATCGTAGTTTCCGTCCCTAGTATAGTGCTTAATGGCAAAGCCACGAGGGTTACGTCCTTGGTCCGGAAACTCTTTGCCAAAGGTAGCGGTTGAAAAACGCATGAATATGGGTGTTCTTTTCCCCACCCCGTTGTACAGGTCGGCCTATCATAGTTAGGCAAGGTTTTGTGAAGGTGGGTTCATGAGTGAATATTCTCCATACCTTAGTCAGTTCCGACATGTCCTTGGTGCACTCGAAATACCCAAAGGCACCAGATCCGGCCGAATGCGCCACACCTATCCCATTCGTAAAATCAGACGACGAAAAAAGGAGAAAAAAGATATCATAAGGATTCCGTACGCTCTAGAGTTTTCGATCTGTTGAGCGTCCGCTGTCTCTGGAACAGAAATGTATCGCTTGCCACTGGAATCCCCCCAACGTTCCCGCTAACCCCGGGATCCGGCCAGGGAATACCTTCACCACTAGTAAAGGATAGCCCATCGTCCTCTCGTTTGCCGCCAGTAACGGCTCCGGTTATTCTTGCCGCAATCTCTGCAGGTCCCGGGTTGTGCTGTTGGAAAAGCGAAGCTTTCTGTTCGGCATCGGGGCCAACGCCCGCTGCTCCCAAAGCAGATGCAGCAGCCTGGGCAGGATGCGGGGGAGGATTGTGAGAGCTCTTGCTAGTCATTTCCACGCTGGATCCCATGCTATCAATGCAGATAGATAATGGAGGCACAGTGCTACTGTAACAATAACACAAAAGCGATCCCGAGCGGTCCCCAGCGATTAAATACGATGCTGCCCACTATTCGAGTGCTCGTACCGTGCTCCACCGTGGAATAGCATACCCCCTTGCATAAGCTTAATAGGCGTTATGGGATTGCGCTAAAAGGACAAGCGCAACTCCTAGGTATGAATTTCTTCGATATCAGCACCAACGTTCCCTCGTTTGCTCTCGAGTTTCACAGCTTTTAAGCGTGCAAGCTATCACTAGAGAAGAAACGCGGATCGGCGGATGTGGGAGAGAAAGGAGTATAACACGAGTCACGGGCAACGAAAGGGGTTTAGATTTTGTGACCTCCAAGTAGCGGTCTGGGACCGAACTTGAAGACTTTTCCTTCTCCGGTATAATTCCATAAATGGCGCAAGACAACGAAATCAAAGGAGGGGCCACAGATTGACGCCAAGAGAACACTCAGCCCAGCTAGCTAGTGAGTCTTCATATGAGTTAGGCTGTGTGGGGAAAAAGGATGGTATTGCCGGAAGGACGGCCGAGGCCGCTTTTTACCTAGAGGGACAAAAACGCCATCTCTCCGAGTAAGCCTCCAGCAGATACCTCGGGGTCAGGAAAATCTATTGGTGGGGTCACGACCAGAAGACTTCAGCTACGCCCCTTCAAGCCAAGTATCCTTTCTAGCTTCCAAGCTAAAAATTCCGTGAAATTCGGCATGGGTGCCAACCAAGGGATAGCCCAAACCACCCAACATCTGCACTAGTACTCGAGTAGAGAGTCTGCGCAGTGGGACCCAGGTGGTATTAATATAAGTTAACAAGGCTTGGCCACCCGGTTCTTTAGTCCCACCTGGTTGAGGTGTAAAAACCCGAAAATTGAACCTGGAATTGAGGGCCACAAACGCCTTCCACCACGCTTGTATGCCTTGACCCAGGTACGATTTTGTGGCCATCCATCTCATGGATAATCCTGACAAGAGCAGTTTCAAGAATGTTAAGAATTAGTGGTTGTATTGACCTCTTTCATGGATGGAGTTTAAGAAACTCAGCAATTGTTAGACTAGGGTCTGAAATGGCCCTTGATGGGAGTGGCAACCCCTAGCAATACTGTTAATAACTCCCACCTAGGTCTGTCTGCACAAACTCTCTACTCCCACCCTCACTCCATAACCGCAATCCTGTGACGGCAGCACAACACGGCGGCCCCCCCCAAATAGATGCCAGCACTTGTTTCCCTCGGAACACGCAGGTTTGATATACCCATAGAGAATCAGCCATTATCCCCATCACCCCATAAACTAGTGAGCCGGAGGTAAATAAGGAAATCGTAACATCGCAGGGGCGTGCCGATATTTGAGCACGGTATTCACCGGAAGAAACGAGAAACTTTCCAACCTGCCATGAGTGCACATAATACCCGTAGGGGGGGCCGCGCTTGGAAACGAAACCGAGCCCAACCGTGGCAACTTTCCAGAAGTTCAGCACGAGTGCGGTGCAGTCTGCACCCCAATCTTCCACGCAGCCCCCGTAGGAACTCGGGGATATGATAGGGTGCGGGCTAATTGAAGGGCCAAAACAGATACAGATGTGTAGTGTGAAGAAAGGGAAACATTTCAAGCCAAACATGACAGTCAATAGAAGAATACTGGTGCCGCAGCACATTGACGGGCCCAACACTTACCCGTGCTTCTCAGCCAAGAATTGGCACCCATTTGCCCTAGTGGGTGGCGCAGGTTCCTTTCCAGGCGATGGGCGTAGACAACCAGTGGCGGGTGACCAGTACTAGAGTCTAACTATTTGGAGAATGATAGGTAAAGGTCTGTGTGCATGTGATTTCACGATAGGACGTGCTGAGTGTGTTGTCTTTAAGCATCAAACTTATTGTTGCTTCCCCACCCATGAACCTGTAGCAGATTAAGGCCGAAGTCTCACCAAAGCCCATTCTGGTGCATATGTGCGGGGTAATGATTGCTGCTCGGCCCGACATTGAAAGACTTTTCCCGCAGGGCATCGCGGGCTGAATATAGTACGGCAGATGATCCAGTCGAACCCCGCCCCAATGATCAAACTCACTGTATCTTTTTTTCCAACTTGTGGCATAATGTGTTGTTTTTCCTCACATGGTTAAGCTTCATACTAGCTGCCCACCGCCGATCATCTACTGGCACCATACCTGTTGTGTGGAAAGGAAGCTGCGCCACCCACTGGGACAGATGGGGTGCCGGTTCTTGGCTGAGAAGCACGAGTACAGCACACCCAGGTGACCGAAGCTTCACAGTCAGCACACAAGCTAACATCATACCCGGACTAGCATGCCAAGCTGACCACTGTTGCGTATCAAAACTGGCCTCAAAAGCGATTCCTAGACTATACAGTACTCATACCGGCAAACCGCCTTTTTTTTTTTCCGGTTCGCGGTTTTGTGCCGCTCCTGCGGTTTCGGTCCAGCCCAGCTCAAAATCAACCGAAACTTCAAAAACGGCGAAGCGTGAGCCCCCCCCCCCATTGATCTACTCGAGTACCTTAAGAGGGAGAGAGCCCGGTGCCTTTTAAGGAACCCGTTCACAACTTCATAACGCACCCGAGGGCACCAGATTGCATTCGGATGATGTGCGCCTCACCATTTATCCAGACACGGCACGATAGATCTACCGCACTTCGAAGATGCCCGAGTTCGGGCAAAAGCAGCAGCTGATCCGCCAGTTTCCAGTTCAAGTCGGATCAAACCTCAAACTGTGAGGTATAAGCAGCCTGAGTCCAGAGAAGCCCAGTACGGGGGTACCAGTCACGACAACCTTTCGTCCCGAAACCCAGGACGACAGGTTTCACCTCCAGAGGACGCGAAAAGGGGGGAAAGTGAGCAAATTCTAATAAGCACTTGGTATAAGTTAGGGAAGAGGTGGGGGGCGGATAGTATCAGGATAATATTGTGAGGTTGAGCACCCTTTATATAGTATCATATCATACACCGTATTACTCGGGGAATTGATCCGAGGTGGCACAGTATAACACCAGGTCGCACAATAGGCTACAGTAGGAGTACGGTGTCAGTGCCCTTGCCGGTACAGTAGCGTAGTCTACAGTACGAGTACAGCATGGTGCTCGTATGATACAGCACGAGTACCGTACTGCCCAAAGCCAAGCCCTGTGCAGATGCAGGCCGCGTCCTCATCCACGCCATCAGCACGCGTTATCACCGGGGCAACACAGGGTTTCAAAGGTTCCCCACCCCAACGTCCTGCCTCTGTTCCGCACGATTGAAATGCTCCAAAAGTCGAACAAACCCACTCTCAAAGCCCCAGTACTCGCACCGGTACCGTGATTGCTCAGATTGAGAGCATATCTCGGCCTCAATACAAATACCACGGCCTCCACCGTTTCCAGACCATCCACCATACGTACATTGGCCCCGGCGATTCCATAGTGGGTATTATAGTCGCTCGCCTCCAGCGATGTCCATCCAGTTGCCCCTCCATCTAGCCCTTCTCCTCGTGCCCTATTTGGATCCCCCAGACATAGCCCGTGCTCGGCGAGTATGCAAGGTATGCCGCCTACACCCCCACCCCACTTTACACCTCCTTATCGCAGCGCTGACAAGAGCTCGTTGAACAACAAAAAAAGTCATGGCATCCGGTATTCTCATCAAACGCCCTCGCCCGAGCAACACTACGAGTTCACTACCCTCTCTGTTACGAGATTCGTGCACCCTCGCGTCCCATCGACTCGTCAGTCCTCAACCGTGTCGGAAAGCGTTACGCTGCTCTCAAGTCTGGACTTCCTCAGCAAGAGCTTCGCATCCCAATCAGAAAAACCCGCAGAAATAATTGCGTCTGGACATTTTCCGAGAATCTCATTGTCGCCCAAACTGGCCATCATCCGACCATTCAGTTGACACTGATCTACCTGGACGCTTCCGGGGACACGAGACGCATACGAAATGGGAGGGCGACGATAGATGCCGCAGGGGAGACGTCAGTTACTGTCAAGGTCTGTTTCACCCCTTCCTCTCAATCCACTGCGATATGTTGTTGACATCCCCTGAGGTTTGCCGAGATGTTCTAGCAGTCGAAAGATCCGAGGAACGAGTAACAAACCCGGGTCGCTCCAATTGGGTTGCCATCGTCAACTTCTTCAGGCTCTCGCTCGAAGGAGAAGATGCAATCGCAGCCACACATATATCCACAATCAATACCTTCGAGTTTACATACATTGACTACTCCCACCAAATCACGAGCGATCATTCCGGAAAATATTACGCTGCATACTCGAGAGCAGAGGCCTCCCGTAGCGGTGGCATGCTCTGTGTTTGGGATATTGAGACGGGTGGAATGGTTCGGCGTGTTCCAGCTGCGTCCCTGGCCGGAATAGTCATGATCACAGACGTGGTTGTCGCTGCAAAACATGGATCGAGGGGCCAGCAACACGTGGTAGTTGCTGGGAATGATAAGCGCAACAACAACGCAAACCGCTGGGGAAGATTCCCAGGGGAGTGGGGGTATCTCTCCAGCTTCAAAGCTTTCCCCATCGAGGATGGTTCCAAAGAAGCGGAATGGAGTGGGTTTGTTGGAAGAACCAAAGCAGCAGCCCCCCGTGAATCGAACATTCTGGCTGCTACATTCAAGATACCTCGCTTCCCCCACGCCATTTCCCCAGCCGACGCCTCTGATACCCCTGGATACGAGAGCGAAGACGTTGGACTCGCTCTCTGGGAGCTAAGGGACCGCTCAGGACAAGCTACTTCTTACTACCACAAACTATCCCCCTCCACCCATCCAAAGTCCACCCCAGATGCCTCTCTAACCGCAGACTTGGAATACCGGCTGCCGGAAAGAGCCCCTGCCTCCGACCCTCCTGCGCCCTTCGCAATCAAGGGCCGGGCTGGCCTATCATTCACCATGGATTTTACCGGCCGCAACGAGGACTTTGAAGGGACTCGCCTGATGCTCTACCAGCTCCGTATACAATGTTTCTACCCATCAGATATACCGGGTGTTATGGAACGGGATTGGGAATCCTGCCTGAAAACTGGGGGCGCAGCCGGACGGACGAGGGGTTTTTACTCGGCAAATAGAAATGTTTCATACACCAACATGCTGCCCGCGATGGAGGTTGTTGAGGACGAGATGGCGATCGCTTTCCTTGAGCTGACACAAGATGGAATGGACCTCGTTGTTGCGATTTGGGATGAGCCTTATGGGGGGAAGGTTTTGGATGGTGCCGTACTGTGACGCCGGAGGTTCAATATTGGCTATGCTCAAGCACATGGTTGGAGTAGGTATCCCTAGACAAAATAAACTATATCATGAATCGTCACTCGCAATGTTTTTCTTTCTTGTATTTCAGCTTTGTTGCAAGACAATATCCGCCTAGGCCGAGCTATAACATTCCAGTACTGTAGTACTTGTAGACCGCGCTATTCCCAAATTCACTTTCCTTGCTTCTCCCATACAACCACGCAAAAGTTCTCTCATTTCTCACCTCCCTCCTTCATTGCACAGAACATAGCTCAGCACAAGATAAAAGGAAATCCTATCTACAGGGTGGCGGAACTCGACCCCAATAGATTACGGCAATTATTGTCACCAGAGATATCACAGCAGAGCCCGAATCCTTGCGGGTCTTCCCCCGCAGTGCCCTTGGGCTCGAAAGTTACTTTCCCGGACCGACAAAGAGATCCCCGAATAAATTACTGTATCTAAAGTCAGTCACTTTCCCAGGGATAGTGTTGCGAGGCGATGCAACCCCCCTACAGCCCACGAGTAGTACGAGTACTTTCAATGACGCGACCGAGTATGGGATAACTCCAGGCCTCTCGTAGGCGATCGAGTCCCTAAGGAGAGGGGGGGGTTGTGGATCTGTTTGAGGGCGCCGTACTTGGGGGGTATGATGAATTGGTGGGGTGCCTTCGCCCAGAGGGAAGCGGAGTGTTGGTGGCTACAATTATCATTTCTTTAACGGGTTTATTTCACGAACTCCTCCCTCGGGAGCGCCCCGCAACCGACCATCTGAAGCCGGCTTACTCCGACCACCCCCCCCCCCGATCGGAGAGGTAAAGGCCCCTCGGTAGTTCTCACCAACTGACCTGTCCCATATCCACCCTCTTATCAGCTTTTGGCATGATTGCAGGTGGAGCCGCAGCAAAGGGAAAGCAAGTTTAGCATCCGGATCAGCATTCGTGCTGACAAGAACTTAAGACATTGTCCTGTCTCACCGCAGTACTCGAGTACAACTGCTCGTGTACTAGCACGGGTACAGTACCGGTACCGGTGATCACGGAGATGGCTACGCCCCCTGTCTCCACCGGTGTCCCGTCGAAATGGTTACCCACGTACGGTTACGGACACTTGCAGTGACCCTCTACTCTCCCCCCGGATTTCTGACAGCGCCATGTTCCCCGCAGCGCTGTAAGGTTATGTCTGGTGCGAGCACTGCACCGTGTTGTGCTATACATTTCCTCGGCGAGGACCAACGGATCTCGAGTTTTCTCACAACTAGCAAGCCCTTCGCGACCTCTCACAATTCAATTTTACATTACACGCTCTCTCAGGGCGAGGAACCAGAATGCCAATGGCATGCCCCGAGAACTTCTGTGATACTTGGGCGCTTCAAGCACATCCCATTGGGTCCATGAGTGCCTCTGGATGGCTAAGCAAACAAAGAAAATCAAATTTCGATCTTTTCAGGGTCCTGAGTGGTCCGGAACTACCCGAGTAAATGTGCACCAAATTACTCGTACTGCGCGACTAGCGATCACTCCTATGAAACTCCAGGCCCCACTATACGAGTACTATCTATAATACAAAGCACGTTCCTATAGCACAGCTCACCGAAAATCAGCTTTACAAGTATTTCTGTCCCGAAGGGCTGAGATTTCTCGTTCAAAGAAGCTGAACCCCCCCCCAACCAAACACCCGGTACAGCACCCAAAAGAACCAATGCAGAATGCAACCACCAAATTGGCAACCTATGATATCAAACAGCACGCCCCAGGCAACAACCCACAATGCCCCGCCAGCTGTCAGTCCATCTGAATCTATTACACCATATCAAGCCCTTTTTCCCCAAGCAGCCCTTGGCCTGCTCGGGTACTGTAGGTGTGACCGCCACTTCCTTCCCGTAAAACAAAGAAAAGAAAAGAAAAGCGAAGCAAAAACTTCCGAGCCTTGTGTCCAGTCATGGCTCCCAGCTTACCTCACTCCCCTCCAGCGATCGAGACAAGTGGGGTGGGGGGATAAGCCATGCGAGTTCCATTTCGAGTCGTTGAACTAAGGTTACGGCGAACCGAGCCTTGCATATGCGAGTTATTTCTGGGGGCGGCTGGGCTAGCTCCAACCAACCCTTTATGTCATATTGCGCGCGACTAGAAGTGGAGCCCTATCTAAGCATGCCCCACCGAGTCGTTCGCAGTGCCGGTCCGGTGCTTGGAGTGTTGTTGTACTTTCTCGCGCAGCAGCAGGATGGCCTGAGGGTTCTCGAGAGGGGAGGGAGGGACCAAAGAAGAATTGAAAGATCGCTGGGACAATCCACCGGGTGGCACGGAAATATGCTCGAAAAAGCCTTTTATGATGGTGGTCGAGTTACCAATTGTGATGGTCCCGGGCTCGATACCGTGCAGTACTGTACATGTACCGGCGGGGCGCGAAATATCCCTAACTCCTTGCATAAGCTACTTGGTTGCGCTACGGTAGAGAAAGCCCATCATACCCAAGAGAGAGAGGGTGGGCTGTATCCCTGACGCACGGCAGGTGTGCTTCATCCGGTAAAAGCAACACCGGGCATTAGTAAACAATGTGCAATTGCTATCCTTTGATCTTACAGTACTGTATGTGCGGGTCTCGCAACTTCTAGCGTGGTTAATGACTTCACGCGAGCCCAGGATCATGGCAAAGGTGGCATGACCGGGAGAGCTCTTGCTGTGATGTAACCACCAGAAATCATCTCCACGATCTCCACTTGAGCCATCTCTATTCTCGGAACGTTACAAGGCGCTAAAAAGGGACAAGTACAGACGAAAAAGACGCTTTCCACTCGCGCCGATCTTTTTATTGCTCGTACATGTTAGGAGCGTCACGGCATGCCGGGATTACAGTGCAGTACTGTACGAGTACGGTACAGTACTCGTACAGTTCTCCGAGAGATCTCTATGGTCGGTTGGTCTCTGTGGCTGAGACATTCCCCGTACCACGACTTTGCTATCGTTACGATGCCTCAGCGGGTACTCGCCCGTGTGCTCGCACGTCTACCCGTACCGAGTACTCGAGCACAAACGGCCCTCGTTGTCGGTGGAAAGGGGGCATTGTATTGTACTAGATTGGAGGGGCTTGGTTGCGAATTGGTGGTGATTCACTCCAAGCGGGTAGACTATCACCGCCCGTAATTCCACTGGTTCAAGACTCCCGAATGTATGAAAGTATACAGTTTACACCTCTAAGTTATGCACCGGTCACTTGCTAAATGGTATACCGGTAAGTTAGCACCGGCAGTATAGAACTGGGGCATCATCCAAGTCGGGGCAATTTACACCTCGCCCAGCCTCTGAAATCTAATAAGCCCCTCCCGATTCGGTAAAAAGCCCCCAACCAACAAAAACCGGCGATACGCACACCATGCCAAACGTGGTTATCACACTTTCGCCAATTCGAATACCAACTGCACCTCCGTCCAACTACAGCACAAGCAGAAGCACGAAGAGAGTCGCACAGAAAAGAAAACCATACCTCTTACCTTTTTTTTTTTTCCTTCTCTCTCTCCCTCGCCTTACCTGAACGGACGGAGAGGCCGCTGTGCTGTTCTTGTGAGTGCTTCTACACTCTTAAGCGATCCTCTGCTTGGCTCCACCCTGGGGGGGGGGGGGGTACCGCATTCCTATTTCTGTACCGCACCGTATGAAGGTCTACCGGTATTGGGATTGTCCGTATTGGGCGGCCTGTGTGTGGGCATGATGTTGGGATATAAATCATACGGTCTTTCACCATTTCTCACCTCTCCACCATCAAACTTTCCGTTCCCTACACACCACCCCTAGCCTCAAGTTCATTTTCCAGCAAATAAACCTTTACAGCAAACAGCAGAATGAGGTTCCTTTCACTAGCCCTCCTCGCAGTACCAGCCCTCGCTCAGGACCTCAAACAGGCCCTGGAAGGAACACCGCAGGGAAGGCAGATAGCAGCGGATATCGGTAATGACAAAAGAGCCCAAGATGCGCTCGTCCCACCAGGCAAGAGTCAAGTGACCCTCTTCCTGCCAACGGACAGAGCACTGGAGAACCACCGAAGCAATGCCCCACGCCCGGGTCAGAAGTCAAAGCGAGATCTGCGGCCAGAAGAGTACGTCATTGCGGAATACTCGAGTGTCGACGGCAAGCTTTTGACGGGAGACATGGCCGGGGGTAAAATCCTCCCTTCACAGAATAAAGACTCGACTACTGGGAAGCCGAATGATGTGGTTACAGATGGCCAGGGCAGTGCGAGGCAACAACCGAGTCGGTTGATGGCGAGAACCAACGTAACCTACCCTGATATACCTCTGCCTGATGTATCTATATTCGGAGGATTGGGTGTAGAGGCGAGGCTTGTTGTTGGGGACATTGTGTTTGATAAGGGCGTGATTCACCTTGTTGATACGTATGTATTCCTCCTCCACCTCCTCTTCTCCTTCTCCTTCCCCACTCTAGCCAATACACCCGGAAACTAACAAGGTTCCCTAGTGTCCTGGATGTCCCCAAACGGTGCTCAACCACCATCGACTTCCTCGGTTACAAAAAATTCAAAGCTGCCCTCGCGGCGGCTGGTCTGTTGGACGCAATCGATCAACCGACCACCACGCTCTTCGCCTATGCCGACGACGTATTCACCAGTACAGCGGATTGCACCGCGAACACGCTCAAGCAAAACATCGTCCCCGGTTTTATCGCTTACTCGCCCAAGTTGGACGATATCAAGACTTTGACCACCGCTGCGAATACCACACTCAAAGTAAGCTTCAAGGATGGGCGATTCTTTGTCGGTGATTCGCCGATTATAAAGTCCAATGTTATTTGCAATAACGGGGTTGTGCATACCCTGGGCAAGGTACGCCTCTTTTTTTTCCCCCTCTTTTCATACCTCCTCCCCTTCCGGGCGGGAGAGTGAAGCGGAGCAACTAATGGTTTGGAAATAGTTGCTTGCCCCCCCAATAGTGACGTACCAGCCTGGTTCCGACGCTGCGAGCAGTCGTGTCAACCAGATGACCATCGTAGGGGCAATTTTTTTGGCAGCGTGGAACTATCTTGTTTAATCAATCCGGGGCCATGGTCCTTCCCAGCAAGATGTTTTCAATTTCACTCTTCTTCCTCCCCCATTTTCCATAGTTGTTTCCATTGTCACCTCCTCATTGAATTCGGGTTCTTTCTCTCTTTCTTTCCCTCTCTTCCCCTCCAATCTCTTGACCGACTATTTACTCTTCCCGGGCCATACAAAATGCATAAAGCGACGACAGTAATGGATCCACGACAATGCGCCGGAAAACCCAAGAATGGAGAAGTACCGCTATGACTCTTTGCCGGATTTTTTTTTTTTCCTTCTTCTTCCTTTCCTTTCCTTTCCTTTCTTTCCTTTCTTTTTTTTTTTTTTTTTGTCTCCCACTTCCTTCATCAGAGGGAGAGAGAGAGAGATTAAGTGTTCCAGCCGGTATAATAACGAATTAAAAGTACAGTACTATAACCGATAAATTAGTAATTTTTATTATTATTATTATTATTATTATTATTATTATTATCATTATTATTATTATTATTATTCAAAAAAGAAAGAAGGAAAGAAAGAAAGAAAACGCACTTCAAAGGCTGACAGACAGACAGACAGGAAGATCCAACCGCAAAGAAAAGTTTCTAAAAAAAGAAAAAGCCCTCGACTCACGTTAGGCCCCTCCCTCCGTCCCTCCACCTATCGTATCATAGAAGGGGAACCTGAACAGCTGTTGTCTACGAGTACTGTACATTTCGCCGTAACTCACCGTAGCTGAGGGGTGTCCCCCCCCCGCAGCGCATCCGTGCAGTGCAGCACTGCACCAGTACTCGAGTACTGAGAGTACAGTAACTCGTACATTGCCAAGGACGGAAACTTACTCGACGTGTGCGCATAACAGTCGATCCGGCAAGATCCGGCAAGATGATGATATGATACTTTACGATAGCCGTGTGTTATGTACGTTGATTGGGGGGATTATGCACTCGCACCGTATGCACCTCAATTATTGTATTGACCGCGCTTTTTAGGCTTTCGGTATCATAAGTTACTTGTGTGATGTATCGCATCTTTGTACTGTACTGTACTGTATTGTATCATACCAGTGGTACAATAACCTATTTACTATACCCGTATACGGTGTATGAGTATTATATGATATTCCTCTCCGGAGCATCCGGTGGAATTTTATCAATTTCTTGGAGGGATGGAATAATTTATGCGTGGCGTTCCTCCACACTTGTTACACTATTAAGTTAGCAGGTTTTCCCTCCGGCGCCCCCCAGAAGGAAATTACGCCATTATATGATATTCGAAATGCTGCCGAGTGACGAGCAATGATAATACCAGTGCTATATGCGTGGCGTCTCAGCTCTCGTGGGTGTGAGCTGTGAGAGAAAAAATCCGGCACGGCCCGGCGTTCCCGGGATTGTATTGTACAGTACGGTACTAGTACAGTATCGCAGTGCCGTCTCGATCACACCCGCTCCATCCCGAAGCCACCAGCAAATAAATCACAGGGAAATGGTGAGGGTTTACGCACGGACTACTCTACTCTACCATACGGTACTCTCTCCAGGTTTCTTTCTTGTCTTGTCTTTTGCGTTTGGGGTTTTGTTCACTACATATGCCCAACCTCATTGACTTCTCCACCTTCTTCGCGGTTTTCCTTTTTCGTACGATACCCTTTGTTTTTGCAGGACTTGGTATGTATGGGGGAGTGTTAATCTGAGGTATCACAGATGGATGAGTTGACTTTCGGAAGAAGAAGCGGGAGGGGGGTCGCATGGCGGGTTTGTTTTTTTTCTTTTTTTGTCTTTGTCTTGGGTGGTGATGTGAGGATTGACGTCGCTTCACCCCCGTCGTGTTGGTGCGATGCCATGCCGGTATCAAGGGTTCGTCATGTTTCGAGCGCGAGCGTCGGCTCCTCATCGTGGTATCGGAGAATGGGTTGGGTGTGCTATGTACAGTATGATACAGTAGACTATCGTATAATATTATACCCGGATAACTTATCTGCTCTCGGATCGCCTAGTGCGCCCGCCCGGCACCCCGACCAAAGCCGTACGACACGAAAACTCCGGCACCCCCATCCGCTCCGCAAAGACCGGGAAGGGGATACGTTATGATAGCTATAATACCGTCGATGATTAACCCACGGTAATGTTAGAATCCGATCATTGAATTCCCCATAGATTTCGATAGCCATAATAACCGTGCACTGTTACTCCTTCCGTTTTTTTTTTTTCCAATGGCTTTTCACTAACGCTGCGGGCTGTATCTCACTCACGCTTGCTTCGATATCTAGAGTCCGTGACTAACTTATCCGCCAAGCAGAATCTTGGAGCCCGTCGCAACCGGCGTGACTGCTATTCTGCGCCGACAATCGTAATGTCATACCTGCATGTCCGCAAGCGTGTGTGCGCAGGACTGTGCACGTTTTTCTACCATCTATCGTCACGCTATGCGACCTTACACATGCCCAGGATGTACAGTACAGTACAGTACTGTACGGAGTTAGGCGATGTTAGTACAGCACAATACACGGCCAAGTAGGCTTTAGATAAGTGAAAATGCAGCAAGTCACTATTTCCTCCCTCAACCAGAGACAGAATATTTTTCATCTCATCTCCTGGTGGAGCCAAGACTGATTGTCCACTGGGATCATGGCAGGCTCTTCAAGCTTTGTCCGCTTCTGATAGTCTACCTGGACAATCGCTCGTCCGTTAGACTAAATGGTCAGGGATACCAACAACTCGAGAGCCAGTTTCCGCAATTTAACTTGCCAAGGGGGAGGAGAACAGGAATCTCCACGCGTACGCACGACTCGCGTAGGAGTGGAAAGTTACTTTCGGAAAGGGTTTCACTCGGTTTCTAAGAATTTGTGCAGTGCTGTACCGTACTCTCTACTCGACACACGAGAAATTGTGTCCCCTGGACCTTCCTGTGAATATATACTCCAGTAACGGAGAGGGGACGATGATATACGCGATACGTATTATATCATACTGGTGGGTATCATCATGGTTGGTAAGGCATTGTGTGAGCCGCAAGTAAGGATCGGCAGCACTTTGCGTAGCTTCGGTTGGAGATGGGAAAACACCACCTTTGCTTCCTTCATCCCCGGCGCACTCTGCTTACGTATCGCATCATGCAAGGCCGATCCAAGTTCACATCTCATCACTCGCCAGGACAATATTTACCGCTTGTTGGAAATTGTGGTTGATCGAACGGCACTGTCAATGATTGCTACGAGGGTTTTAACGGAACCGGGGGAGGACAGCGAGGGAAGAGAGAGAGAGGATAGAATTATTCTCATCCACTAAGAGTAGGGTGAAAGAGCGAGAAGAGAAAGCTGAGAAAAAAGGAAAGATGTGAATTGACGGCGAGCCAAGGAAGTATGCGGATTGATCTTGGTGAGGATTGTTAAGAGACAAGAAGCAAAAGGAAAGAAAGCAAACATAATGTGTGGACCTGTGTGCCTGGTGGAAGAGGTACGTGGACAGTCGCGCATATCTGCGAACGTTCCCAGCTCTTGTACGTGACCGTTCTCATATATTCAGCACCGCTCACCGCAGGAGCCCGTTCGCCGGTGTGAATAAACAAGTACTCAAAGCAAGAAAGCGAGTGATCCAGAAGATACACTGAGCAGACAGTACGGTTCCTGCTTAAGCGGACATATGAGTATATAAGCCACAACAGCTCATATTCCCTCCATCCAATCCAACTCTCCAAGCAGAGAAAGAAAGAAATCAGCACAGAAGGGAATTTATGACAATGCACCCCCCCATCTCCCATTCTTCCGCACCACTCCTCCTTCTCTGCCCCGGCAACGAGCCAGAGACCTTCTTCACCTCAGTGACCATCTCAATAAGCCCGTCCACCCTAAACACGCCCTAAGGCACATAGCGCACCGCACAACTACGATTCAATAGTGGTTCCCGAAGAGAATAGATAAAGACATACATAGCCCTCGGCATCCCTCCACCACGCGTGGATTCCCAATGTGTTTCTGCCGGCTCTAGAGCACAGCAGCGGGTACCAATGCCGCGTCAGAACAGGGGGGAAATTGGCGTATTCGCGCCGGGCGGGGAATTCCAAGAAGGGCCCCCATTGGGATGCTGGCGGCGGAGGCTCCCCCACCTAGCTCGGCAGTTAATGTAAAGGCGGACCCGGCTGGTGGTAGTCTGCTGTTGTCGTGTATGTATGCCTGCTAGTGCCAGGACGGAAACTGAAGGGTAAGTTGATCCGAGGAGACGGGGAATTTGAATGGCTCGGTGGGTTTTCTTTCTCTCTTTCTTTCTTCTTCATTTCCGAGATATTGGGAACTGCTAACGGGTGGTAGAATCGACGGAGCCGCAGACCGGGATGACATCAATTAGTGATGGGGTAGTAGAGAGAGATTTCCCGAATGGCGGAAGTAGGATAGACGGATATTTGGGAGAAGTGTGATGGTAGTAATGTCCAATCGAGGAAGAATAGTCCTTTCCACTTTCCCTTACTCCTGAAACCGCATTACCCCGCCTCCCGTATTTTTTTGGAAATACTTCCTTGATAGTAGGAGCTTAACCTCGAAAGACCTTTCATAGCCCATAGCTTACCAAAGTAATAACTAAATCAGATCTATCGGGGGTGTTTAAAAAAAATGAGATACATCATAGCGGTATACCTCTATGGAAACAACTCCAAGGGGTACACCCTACCTATCTCTGCAGTAATGAATGTTCCCAATCCCCATAGCATACTATCTACCAACCCTGGCTCTTGCGAGGCATTAGATTTGTCGGCTTCCGCCAAGACTCCAGACCTACAATGCCCTAGCTTGGGGGTACTCAAGCTGGTTAGAGCACGCCAGAGCTTCCGATGGGCGGAAAGGCAAAATTACCAGAAGTATCATACTACTCACTAGATTACATGTATGTCAACCATGCTCTCTGTAACCATTCCCGTTGCATTTATTCTCATCACATACGCCACCGCCGCCGCCTCCTCTACCACCTCTGCGACCAGCATCCGCGTCACCATGCCCGTCTTCGTCACCACGTTCCGACACCCCTACCTCCCAAGAAGCATCGCCCTCGCTGTCACCACCGCCGGCCGAGTTGACAATAACTTATTGTGCTGTGCAAAGACGGTCGTCCGCTCTTCCCTCCCACGCGTCTGCAACAGTGAGAGTATTATACTCCCGCCAGACTGGGGGGGATTGGCCAGGCGAGCTCTCCTATCACTATTAAAGCTAGTAAGCAGACACAGAATGTGCACTGTTTCAAGCAGAAAGGCACGCCAAGTGGAAGGGGGGACAAGAGGTAGAAGGCAGATTGAAACTAGAGTTGATGCACCCCAGCGAGTTCTGGCCCCCACTGCCTGAATTCGAACGTTAGGGGTGTATGAGCGGAGCATGTGGGAGGTGGGTTGTTGCAAATGTAGTATTTGACCCCATTATCTACCTCATTCTATTGCTCTTGCTGTTGTCCATATCTGCCTGGTGGAGTACTGCAGGCTTAAAAGATGTTAGAGAGAAGTTAACACACCTTTATACCCACATCTCATACCCGTGCTCCTCTCCCTTCGCCGCTCCGGGTATCCCGATAAGTATACATAGCTTTTTAACAACGAGGGAAAAAAAAAGTCCAGTGTAAGTCTGCGATCAAGGGCAGACTGTCTAGAGACACTTGGGTAAGCTGTAACAGGGGGGAATAAAATACAGCCAGAAAGTAGGAAGGTTATATGGCCAAGAAATCCTATTCCTAATCCTCCATACTAGGGTCGCCTGGCCCCACCGTTAAATCATTATCTTCGCCAGACTTTCCAAACTTGTCAAAAGGGGGGATCCGTCCTAGCAAGACAACACAACCTGCCTGCCTAGTGACCCAATGAGAGTTGGAAGCAGGTGAGATATCCTAATAGTTCCTCTAATCTACCTGGACCACCTTCTCCCGATATAGGTTGACATCTCCTGTCTCAGCATCTCCCTCCCACGGAAGAAAATGAGGCCCAAACGGCCGGGGATAAACTCTTCTATTGGGAATTCTTAGCTGGAGTGGTAGCGCAAAGGCTCCAAACGATAGAGGGTGCTCTACAACAACTTGAAAAGCACAAAACGTAGAACAATCAATGGAGAGCGCGGGAGGACCACAATACGCATATCACGACTCAGTGGCTAACACAACGTCTTAAAACAACTATGATACAGTGTTAACAGCCATTGCACAGCTTACTTAAATCGTAGAGAAGAAAGAAGGGGAAGAAAAAAAAAGCCGCTCCGAGCCACACCATGACCCCAAGATTGTACTGGATACCCCCATCCAGGATCACAATACGGTGGGAGCCACAGTCCACAAGTATCATACCGGCGATTCTCCCACCCCCGACAACATCCATCACCCAAATAATAAATCCGCTAGGAAAAGTGGATATCGAACTCCTGGATAAGCTCCCGGTATAGATACCCAGGTTAGTTCTTTACATACATACATCCTAGTCACCAGACTGGATAGGTATCTCACGCAATATCACAGGTGGGGACAAACAATTATCCCGTCCGGGGGTTACACTCTAGCTTCCCGGTCTGGGACTGAGGGTGATAATAGCCTTCGTCACTGTCAACCGATGATGTACCATAAGACATGACACTCTCAGGAGAGCATATTAAATTGTACGCGCTAATCATCAATTAGTGGCAACGAGATCTCATCGCGTTTCGGAGGGATAACTGCTGTGGAGTGTCAGTGATGGAGGGCTAGGTTTGGCTAAGAGTGCTGCACTAGTACAGTACACTATCGAGCGCAATAGAGGGGGGTAGTAGTTCACGTACACCACTCGTGACTTTTCATAATCTGTTCGAGGGAAAACAGCGCCCAAGCTCTTTGGTGGAGGGTGACATTAACTGATAGCTCCGTCACGGATAATCACTCGTAGATATCGAAGGTTTGTATAGCTCCATGTTTTCCTCCATATATAAACGCCCGGTGACCCACATGTGCCGGATACGGTTTGAAAGGTTTGCTTGAGCACGGGTAACCGCTCACGAAACAGCCACATCATTTGGAAATCCGCCGGACTTTTTTCAGGCGTATTTTCGAAACGGCGTAAGGAATTGCCGAAGTGTAAGTCCCGGACGGGGGGGATCCCAAGCTAATTCTTAATCATTCAACTGATTAAACCGCGATTATTATTGCTTCTGTACAGGTATCTGTCTATTCCTTTTTCCCCTGTAAGAAGCAAGCTTTGTGGACTAGTGGCAGAAACATGCTATCTCAGGTTATCGAGGCAGCTGCAGAAGTCCCTGCAAGGACAACACCAAAGTACAAGAAACCCCCGAGGACACTCCAGAGCGCAGCCATTCACGTCCATACCTCGTTGATGGCATGCAAACCTCCCCCGGGAGCACAACAGGAACAAAGCGATGATAGTAATAGTTATAGCACCGGTATAAAAATTAAAAAAAAAGGTGGGATAGAAACGAACGGAAAGGACGGGGGTGGGAGCGTAGCACTCTCAGTATACAATTATGATACCACGACCATCAAAGTGGGAGAGTGGCGAGAAGTGGGACTCGACAAAGTGATCCGGTCATAACGTCAGAAACTTCCGTGAATCGGGGAATCAAGCTAAATTACCACACTCCTAGCCATCATAGTGAATCACTCGATATGGGATTAAGAATGATGGAATGTGCGTGGTGTGAATACCCCTCCTCTCCGGACGAAGCAATTCTCTCGCTACCTAGTGTACCAGTGCCAATAATGCCCTTTCCTTTCCCTCGTTTTCGTATCTGCTCCCTATACGTACCCAGTGTTCAACGATGCAATACAATACCGTTATTTACCAACTTCAGGTCAGGAGCGGGATCCAAATCCACTCGCAATAGTTAAGATTTTCGAGAACCGGTCGACTCTAGTCGCAACTGAGGAGTCCCGGTTCCCGATCCTCCTCAGCGTAAAGTATCATATCGCTGGACGATCCATCGCGCGGGACGTTAAAGAGCTTAACCCCCCTCCTCGATATGGAAAATCTGTACTGCTATGGTGCCATATGCATCATAATACCACGGAACCCACCCCTTGACAATACACCAACCTAAAGGGTGAAGCTTGTAACCAGCAGCGTAGCATCGTTTTTTTTTTGTTTTTCTTACATGTTCTGACCCGGAACTATAACACCGTAGAAATCCCAACGATAGACTTCCTCTCTCTCTCTCCACACGAGGATGCCTGGATCCCCCTGCGAGGGTGACCGTTTACCATTCTACCAATCCAACCTTCGACTATTGACCGTCGTGGGCATTTCTACGCCCCCCCCCCTCAAAGGACCCGGACATGAACAGTTGCCACTAGGAAAGACAATCATTAGAAATAGTGCCACAAACTCCGCTCAACACCCCGGCGGAGAAGAAGAGGAAGAGAAAAGTGGCTAGAAATACAACCCCCTTTCATATTCTCATAACTTAGGTCGTAACATTTCGAACCCACTTCGCACGGCGCTGCTCGGTTGGTAGAGATGGATGCACGATTGATATCTGCAATCATCAACTGGGGCCACACTCCCTCCCCAATCAAGGAAAAAAAAAGGGGGGGGGGGGCGGCAATGGTCCTAGAGTGTTAGAGCATTGCGCGTAATACAATGAGTATGGTACTGTACAGTGCAGTAAACTTGTCGCGGTGGATCCACAACCAAGGACTGGACAAAGAAGTCATAAAAGGAAAGGGAAAGCCTCACACCAAAGAGGGAGAAAGGATCCCCTCCGCATCATCATTTTGGACGGTGGCACATGGGGTCTTACTGGATAAGACGACTTCAGCAAGTTTTTCTCGGAAGACATACCCTTCACTTCGTTCAGGCCAATTTCTAGTATATATGTATTTTTAATGACAAGTTAGGCTACCGTAGTTATCGACAGTAGGCAAGTTCACACAGAACAAAGGAAATACTGCACAGTAGACAAGCTAACAAGTGGAAATACCAAACGTATGATGGCAAATGCACCACCGTAAACCAGGTATTACTAAGGGGGAAAGGGTGTGATAACATCCACTTGCTCGCTTGGTTCGATAGAGAGGCAGAGCGGGGGGGGGGGAAGAGCAATTGATTAAAAAGGAAGCAAGCAAATCCAGCCATCGAGCGGAGGAAACCCGAATGACCAAGCAAAATCAGAGGAGAGGGGCAAAAGTCGGAGTACACACCCCAACCACCAACCGACCGACTCACAAACCCACAAACCTCAATCAAGTACGGTATGGAAGAAGGAAGATACCCAGCAAAGAAAAGCAAGAGGGAAAAAAAAGCAAAGCAAAGGAGGAATATACATCCAACCCCGGTGTTCCCAGACAAATCAGATCACCTCAAGAAATAACACTCCCACATCCCAAACATCCAACCCCCTCTTCCCACTTACCCCCTCTATCGCCCCACTCCTTCCTGCTCCTAAGATCCTTGACAGCGGCCACCACAGGTCCGTTGACCTCCGGATGAATAACCACATGGAAAAAGTCACCCTTTTCGGTCCCCGCCGTGGCATTCTTCCCCCTCGCGCCGGGGGATTTCGAGGCTAGGGTTTTCGAATTCGAGGCAGTGGCTACCACTGCGGGAGTGCGATTGCTTCCCCGGGCTTTGCTTGTGGTAGTGACGCTCTCATCTTCCTCTTCCGAGTCTTCTTCCGATTGGCTGTCGTTAGTAGGGGAGGGCGGGCCTTCGGTTATCTCTTTGCAAAGTTTCTTCCTGATGTCCGCTATCAGGCACTCTTCGTGCAGCCACATTTTGCACGAGGTGCAGGCGTACATTATTTTATCGGGGTTGTAATAGCCACGACATTTGCAATGCTCTCTGACCTCCTATACCGCCACTATTAGCCCCGCCTTCACATATTGAAAGGGTGGTGGTACCATAAGCGTCTGGGTAGGGTAATCAAATTTCTGCCTCCAAAAGAGATCCGGCAGATCCTCCTCCTCGTCCAATTCCATCCAATGTTTGACGGTCGCCCTGCCACTAACAGTCATAGCATCTATGATCTCCATATGGTTACTAGCGATGATCTCCTTCGCCCCGTGGTAGGGTTGTCTCCCACCGGGCAGCTCCTCTGGCCAGTAGAGCCAGTACACACGCAGGTACACGTGGGACTCGTCGATAGCACGAATCTCCAGCACTCGAGCCACCCAGAATTTCTTGTCATCCGAGGCTCCCAGGTCCGTGCCGTGGGGAATATTGCTATGGTTCACGAAAATGTGCTCGTTTAGGGCGAAATTTTCCGTCCCGACTTTATGTATGAATTGCATTAGCCATGAAGCGCAAGGAGAGGGGATCGAAAGAACGTACCGACAAAACTCCGGTACTTTGTCAACTGATCCCATTGCTTCCTTGGCTTGATGGCATAGAGCGTAGAATCAAACGGTACCTCCCTATCAATCTCCTGATGCTTCCGCGATGCCCCCACTGGATTAATTGGAACTCCAGACTTGGTGTACCTCTTGGCCTGTCGTGGCGCGTGTCCGCTACCAGCGCTACCAGCACCACCCTTCTTCTTCTTCTTCTTCTTTGCCGCCGGAGGGGCGGCCTTGTACTCCACGGTGAAGGGGCAATCCGATACCAGTAGAGGTGGATTATTGTTGACCGATGGCTCACTCTGCTGTTCCTCTAGCGGCTCCACCGCGTTCTCACTAACTCGCTTGCGCTTTGGCGGCATGGTGGAATCTGCGGATCAGAGGGTGTTTTTTTTTTCGCGTTGTTTGAATCGCGCTTCAATCCTCCGAGGCACTAATTGGACCAGGGGTAAACGAGGGCTGGGTTGAGCTTAGCCGGTTGACAAGCCCCGATGGAGTTGAATTGACGCTCGTAGAAAACGTTGAATTGCGGGCGATGAGGACGTGGAGGCACAACTCGTGTTTGCCCGCTATACCCACTCGCGGCTGTTGGGGGGGAGAGCACGGCAGGCTGTGGCACGGTACCCGCGAGTACGGATGACAAGTACTCAAGTATTAGGGCACGTCCCCGCGGTTCGTTGCGCTCACGGAGTCGTTGTCGAACCAACCTACGGTACCGTAGCAAAAGGTAACGACACAAGACCCACAGGGATTAGGCGAGTAGCGTGTGGGTGCTCACAAGCGGATTCTCTTTTTTTTTTTTTCCGAGGCTGGAGAGCAAGAGTGGGAGAGTCGATGAAGGAGGGCAGGTACCGGGATGGAAGAAGTGAGAGAAGGAGGGGGGCCAGGAGTGCTGGCGGTGCTGCCGTAGAAGGGAGGAGGGGGGGGGCCTTACGGTTCACTTGGAACTGTGAAGATCTCAGTACGACCATACAGAAAATTCCCTTATGGTGCGGGAACCCTTTAACCGGAGCACTTCCCACCCAACAAAATTCTCACCTTCAAACCGCCGCCAAAGCCCCCCTCAAAAACGACTCTCCCCCAGCCTTTTTTCCCCTATATCCTTTGACGAAGTGTAAGCTGGAGAACCAACAAAATTTAATGGAAAAATATCTCGAAGGGAATAACCCTCGGGCAAGCTCTAGGGGTTCGAGGTTAGGTGCACTGCGACCTGAATGTTACACACGGTTATCAGCTATTCAAATTGCCAAGGGGCAAGTGAACTTTCCAATAATGCGGAATTAACTGATGCGGCAGTTAACGGCACTGGGTGCCGGATAACATGCATTACTAACTGGTCTATCTTGGGAATGTTCCAGTTCAAAGGCTTCCCCTACCATGGCCGTCCATTGATGTGGAGAGAGGAAATTGCCTTGATGCGAACACCGGTACTGTACCTGAGTAGGGTAAAACACTCCAGACTGAGACAAAAGTCCGGGATACGGTGCCTTACGGGTCGTCACAGGATGATGTTTCCCTTTACCAGAGAAGGGAAAGGGAAGGAGAGCTGGAAGGTTCATGATGGTCATATATGATACAAGTACTGTATCGTACCGTGACCAACCGACTGGAAAGTGGCTGCTGCGTGTGGCGTTTGGCGATTGAGATCCGGGTTGGGCCCCGTTCGATGCTGGACCAGAGCACCTCACTCGCGCTCGCACATCTTCACTCAATGATGGTGATAATGCATTTATGCATCTCTCTATAGGCAGCAAGGCACCTAACGCCGCCACCGAGCATGCATACCCTACCGTGGCACTGCACGAATACTGAACTTATGTATTGTGCCGGTGGGCCCATACAGATAGGTACAGTCTGAGACCGTATAACGTCTCCTCGCAGGTGCCCGGTGCCCGGGCCCCAGAAAGCTTGTAGTAATACATAGTGGCTGGCAGTACCGGTACAAGCACCTACACACATAACACACGAACGGGCAGACTCACTAGGATCCGCCCGGCTCCGAGCAATCCCCCAATACCACTACCCAGCTTGATTACGGTACCGTATCTGTCTCTCTCTCTCTCCCCACAAGTATACTTCTCTTGAATTCTACGCTTATAAGAGAGAAGACAAAATAAATAAAACCAATTCCCTACTATATTATATCCATCGAATTAAAGCTATCGTTGTCGGTATACCATATGACACCCGCTTGCTGCAACAATTCCAATGCTGCCGCCGCTAACGAAAAAGTCACACCCTGCGTACCGTACTGTACAGTACCGGTACAACACGATACCAGTATGCAAGGCCCCCAATTGCTGTACGATAGCATAACCAACAGTGACACAGAATCCCCTCCTTGCCGTACCATGGACCAACTACCTTTCGCCCAACTCCTCCACCATCCGGACCCTCTCTTCTAATTCCTTGACCCACCCCTCAACCTTGCCCATATTACCCTGTATCGTCCCCTCGCTCTCCTTGACCGTTACCTCCACTTTTTCCAGCGCAGCCCTCCACCGCGCAATCTCCCCGCCCATCTCCTCTTGCCTCCTCTCCAGCTTAGTCAGGCTTTCCACCGCCTTTCCGGCGTCAGCATGGATGGTCCTGAGGCTCCTTAAGCGATCGAGAACAGCCGGCAGAAGCGGGCCGAGCTTCTCGACCGTGGGGAGTGCGCCATAAAGTGCATTTATCTTGGCATCTCGTTCGCTCGTGTCCACCACTGGGGCAGCACCACCCTCTGGAGATAGTTGGTCGGCTTCTTCCCTTCGAGCATCGGCGGCGGCTTTAGCAGCTTTCCTGGCCTCCGTTAATTTTTCCGCTTCCAGGATGAGTTGTTTTACTCGTTTGTTGGCTGCGTCAAGGGATGATGTAGAGGAGGATGTCAGGACCGACATTTGTCGGCTGAGCTCGTCGAGAGTAGGGATCATGGCCGAGCTGGGGAGTTCTTTATCAGTGTCTAGGGTGGGGGATGCGCTCATCCCGAGGACCCTCTCGAGGACGGTTAGACGCTTGTCAAAGTCTGCCGCCTTGGCCAGAGCGTGGGACTGCTTGAAGGCCGGGGCATAGGTTACTGTATATGTTGCTGTTGAACCAGCTACTGTAGCAGGCGCGCTCTCGGGCGCCTTATAGTAGAACAGCTGTTAGCGGGTTCTTTATATAGATAAAAATAAGAAAAAATCACTCTCACATCAACTGTCGCCTTCTCGCCACCTTGTTCTTGAGTTTTTGAGGCAATAACACTCATAGCAGCAGTCAATTTCTTTGCCAGCTTAGCTTGAGCACCCCTCTCCTCCCCACTCACGGTCTGCAGTCCCTCAAGAGCACTGCTCAGCTCAACAATGCTCGACCTGAATTCTACCATATCCAGAATATCCCCATCCTCCTGATCCACCCCTCTCCTCTCCCCTTCGCTCACTCCCTGCCGGACCGCCCCCTCCTCCTCCCCGTTTCCAAGTTCTTGCTCCCTAGCCTCAATTTCATCCCTAACCTCCTCAACCTCCCTCCTCAGCCTGGCCACTCGTTTACCCAACGTCTCCTCGCCAAGCACACCATCGTCCTCATATTCGTCGTATTCTTCATCCTCATTGTACGTTCCAGCCCTGCTCCTGCGCCTCCTAGAACTAGCCCTATAGCTTCTCCGCTTCCCGCTGATACGATCCGAGAAGTCAACCCTCGTTGCGTCGACCTCGGTATGTTTGAAGCGTCCCCTCGCATCTGCAGGTCTTAGATGGTCATAGCTGATGCTTCCACGCCCGTCCGCGTCCCCACCGCCCTCGGAGCCGGAGGTGGAATGCGCTGCACTTGTCGATGTCTGGAGGGTGGATACATCCTCTACGAGGTCTGGGGTTTCGTATACATCCTGTGAAATATCCTAGGCGAGAAAAGGATTGTAAGTTTGGTTGAGCCCTTTCCACTTTTTATAGGTATTTGAACGCATACCAGATCTGGGAGAGCGGCGTATTTAGAAGACATTGGGGTCGGCAGTGGGGGGGAGGGGGAGGGAAAGGGAGAGGTTTTGGAAGTGCTAGAGGATTTGTGATTGTTGCTTTGGCTGTTTCTGGGGTGACCCTGGATGGATGGGATGGATTGGCGGGGTTGACGTGACGGGCAAGTCTGTTGCTTGGCAACCGCGAGAAGGTTGTGTAGTGCTGGAGAGGAGGAGTTATTGCAGTATGGTAACTTACCTGTACGAGTACTGTACGAGTACCGGTACAAGTATCCGAATGCGGCTCGGATTTCATCACAGTACTTACGGGTACGGTACTGTACTCGGGGACCTAATTGGGCGTGCCGGGTCCAAAAGCTCTGGGAGAATTCCTTAGGAGGTGTTGACGTGAGTTAGACTATGATATGAACCCCCCCCCCTACAGGCAGCCGTGCCCGGCGCTCCTATCATATGAGATCTCGCTTGATCCTTGGGCCCTAGGGTTTGGTGAAAACGTTGGCCAACCGGTGACCAGTGGTGCCGGAGGTGGTTTGGGTCTGCCGTCGAGAATCAACGGGCGTTCTGATACAAGTACCGTATCGAGATTGTGCTTCTTGACCGGCGCTAACCAGTCAAATCCCGATGATTCTAAAGCGGGCATCATGCTCCTGCAGATATTTTTGCGCTTTGATACCCTGCATCACGAGCAAAGCCACCGAGATACAATGGACTATCTTTTGCGCGCTGTGAAGCATCGTAGCGTAACCTTGTGCTTCACTCATCGCATTACAAGTCACGGAGAGCAGGAAAGAACCACCAAAGTGCAATCTAACCCGAAACATCTATTTTGTTTGACCGCTCCCGTACCAATGGTATGATCAACGCAAGGAGGTATTTCTGTGCTGTGCTAAGACACAACGCTTACATCTCCCTCCCACCACATGCCCAAACCGTATCAAAAGAAATCAACAGTGAGAAGTACGGCAGAAGGCTTAGGAGTCCGCCGAAGCAGCGGCACTGAGAGAAAAGTTCGTGTTAGCATCGAACGAAAGAAACCTACGTTGCGAGGGGAGGAGACATACCCAGTAATAATCTCAACCAACTCTCCAGTAATAACCGCCTGTCGAGTACGATTGAAAAGAATCTGGAATCGATTGATCATGTCACCAGCATTCTTGGAGGCGTTGTCCATGGCATTGCGGCGGGCAGAGATCTCGCAAGCGTGACCCTCAGAGAGAGCCTAATTCGAAGCAGATTATTAGATGGGGTCATTGCAGTTCTACGTAGGAGAGCTTACCCAAAAAATAGTGTTGGCCAGGGCATATTCGCGAAGATTAACAAGTTGCTCATCTTCAATCTCGAAAGCGGTGAAGTTGGCTGGATTTTGGGGATTGTAAGCAAACTTTGGCTAACAAAATAAGGCAGATTCAAAACGGATGGTGTGAAATCGTTCTCAGAAGGAAGGCAACGGAAATATCCACACGATTTTGCGCTCTCGGAAAATACAATAATGTTTTTACATCCGAATATTCTTCATCACCGGGAAAAGCAACGTAGGGAAGCATAGCAGGGTGTAGGTGGGCTTGGGAGGTCTCACCCGAGTTCTTGATGGTCTCCTCGGAGAAGGCATAAGTGGCACCGGGCTCGTAGGAGATAGCAGACTTGAAGTTGTTATAAATAACCTCAACATTGTCGTAATCCTTCTCCAGTTGGAAGATCTGGTCCGCGACGGTCTGAGCCTCGGCAAAAGTAGGGATATCCTTTCCAACATTCGCGAAGCTCATAACAATGTTCTTCGAGGAAGATCTGCCCAATTGTGCCTTGCACTTTTCACCCAAAATAACAAGGTCGGCATCGGGAATCTCCAACAACTTTCTGCGAACAGCCTTGGTGATTTGTGAGTGGATACCACCGCAGAGTCCCTTATCGGATGAGCAGGCAATGATCAAAGTCTTCCCGCCTTCCTGTGGTTTGGTCTCGGCTTTATCAAAGACGGTGTTTGACGTCTGACCGTAGGCGCGGGATTCGGACATGGCACGCTGAGCACGGGCAAGTTTTGTGGAAGCGACAATCTTCATGGTGTTTGTGATCTTCTCGATATTCTTGATGGACTTGAGGCGTCCCTCAATCTCACGAAGGGTAGCATAATTATTGCTCTGAGCTGGCCTACCAATTGGATGGTTAAGTCAGCGATGGGTTCACGAATAATGGATGGCGATGAAGATTAAACGACGAGTGGGGAACAGACCAGGTGGTGACAGAAAAAGCAAGCGAAAGGGCAATCGAGGAATTACCTGATGGAGGCAGCAGCAACTCTCTGAAGGGCTGGCCTGGCTGCCCTGGACAACATGATGAGAGGGGAAGGAAGTATTTAATCACGGGAAGGGGGGAATAGGAGGGGAGATTGACAGGAGGGGCGGTTGGTGTGAACGGGACTGGCAAGAAAAAAACGAAAAGGCCGGGGAGGATGGATGGAAGCCCGCGGCTCTGAATTTCCTCTTTCACCTGCCCCGATCTGCTCCAACAACCAAAGAAGCGGCGGGATCTGGTATGACAACGCCAGGATATCATTTTCATTCGTTCATTCATTCATTCATTCTCCGAATTGAGTTGTTCCGTAATTACTTAGTCAGCAGATACAAGTCCAATACACTATGGTTTAACAAGCGTCAGGTCCCTCACTCGGCTTTTGACGTTTTTGGATCTTTGGTGTTTCTTTCTCTCGCTTTCCTTCTTTCTTCGTGGTCTCGTCGTCTTCCCTCCCCGTCGTCCAGTTCACCCTCCGTTCTCCAGCAGCACCAACTCACTCCTCCCCTCCTCCTCCCCCTTCTCCTCCCCTTCTCTCCTCCTCCTCAACCACACGTCCACGCACATACCCAACGCTTGCCTCCTCCCCCCTTCCTGCCCTTAGCCTCCTCGCCTTGTTGTTGTGTTGCGTCCAGCACAGAATCTCTCCTTCTCTCAACCCCCAAAGTCAAGCCTTTCCCATCCTATCTTCACTAACCCTTCGCCCTCTCGTCTTCCTCCCACAGCAGCTAACCCAACATACTATCTTCTTTCTTTTTCCCCTTCATTCCTTCATTCCTTCCATTTTTCTTCCACACCCATCACGGAGAAACACCAACAACCCCGGCCCTTGCCGCCAAAATTCAGCTGTTATCCCGTTGCTATCGTCGTTCGCTGCTGTCTCCTCCCGCCCTGAGGCTAAAAACTTTCGTTCCGCTGGTCCCCTTCACGCTCCTTCATTAACTGCGGCTCTTAACCCCCTCGTCAACGTCTCCCACCCCCCCCCAACCTTTCACTCACTCGTCCTTCCCTTCGCAACGGTAATCCCCCACAACCTCGCCCGTCCTGTCCGTTTTTTCTTTCCCGCCTCTGGGGCACAACTCCCTGCTGCAGGTTTCTTTTTCAATTGTACCGCATAACCTCTGCTTGGGACAGTGCACTTCTCCCCCGCGGCAACTCCAATTTTCCTCTGCAAACGGCTCACCGAGGCCTCTGTACATCTCATCCAAAGTCAGTACATTCAAATCACAATCATTTTCGTACAGTAGGATTTATTTCTGATAGGGGTGCGTACTCTGCCGCTGCTGCTGCAGTTATGTCTTCATCGGAAGATGATCGCCCTCTTGCTGCCGTGCATGGTGTAAGGACAAACGGTATGTGAATATTATCATTCCCCTTGCCAATTTGGTGCCTAAGGGCACGCACCGGATCAACTTTCAGAGCGATTTGGAGGCTACCGCTCCCTCGCTTTTAAGACACGACTTCTATATTCCTAAAACAACTGAAAACCTTACGGTGGGAGCGTCTACTAAGTGGTGTGGTTTCTGTTGTATAGGTACTTCATTGACCGTGTCTGCTGATACCAACGGAACTACCCCTGGCCCGATTCTCGCTAATAAAAACCCGAAATCCGTGGAGCGCGAGGTGGGTAGCAAGTTTGACAAAATGGCAAATAAATCAACAAATGGCGTACGCCCTGTTAATGCAGCTGGAATTCCTCTCGTGAACGGGTCGGTTGGAGACAGTGGAGGCTTAGGGCGTGGTAAGAGAAAAGGACGTCAAGCTCCAATCAAGGAGAGCAGTAGTAGTGAAGATAGCGATGCTCCTCTCGTAAGTTACATGCTTCTAGTTCTGAACGCTCTCGCGCGAATACTTATATAGTGAGACGTTTTAAACTGACAATTTCGAGAACAAACGTCGCCGAACCAGCAGCGGCATCAGAAGGGAGAACGGGTTTAAACAAGAGGATTCCTCAAGTGATGATGACGTCCCTCTGGCTAAGAAAACAGCGGCTAAACGTCGAAATGTCCCTTCGCCTACACTGGTCAAACGAGAGAAAAAGCCCCCGGCACCTCCGGGAGGGGACCCCTCCGACTCGGATATCCCGTTGGCAGCCGCTAAACTAGCTAAAGAGAGGCAGAGAATAGAGCAGAAGGCTGTGAAAACTGCAAAGGAGATACGTGCCGAACAAAACAAGGTCGCAACGGCTGCTGGGGCGAAGCGTAAACCGGTGGGCAACGCCAGCACATCCGAAGTAGCAAAGAGAACGGGGAAGGCACAACTTAAGAAGGTTAATGGGGTTAAAAAGGAAGAATCCTCGGATGATGATGTCCCTCTTTCTAAGAAACGAAAGGGTGCTGTTCAAAAGCCTGCCGAAAGTACAAAAAAGGCTGCTCCTGGCAAGAAGGCGAAAGAAGTCGATGCGAAGTCCATTGCTGCCAAAGGAAAGGGAAAGGCAAAAGAGGAAACGCCTGCCGAAGCTGACGAAGAGGAAGAAGAGGAGTATAAGTGGTGGGAGAATCAGGCAGAGACTGATGGCACCCAAAAGTGGACCACTTTGGTGCATAATGGCGTACTCTTTCCCCCGGCTTACGAACCCCTCCCTAAGCACGTTAAGATGAAATATGCCGGGGTTGAGGTGACATTGCCGCTCGAGGCAGAGGAGGTTGCTGGTTTCTTTGGTGCTATGATCGACACGCAGCACGCTTCGAACCAAACCTTTGTTGAAAATTTCTTCAAGGATTTTCAAACCATATTAAAGCAGTCCGGAGGTGCTAAGGGTCCTGATGGCAAGGTTTGTGACTTCGTGATTCTATATTGGTGCATGGTACTAACGTGAGTACAGAGCGTCAGCGTCCTGTCCTTTCAAAAATGCGACTTCAAGCCGATGTACGACTACTTTGAAGAGAAGAAAGCGGAGAAAAAGGCTCTAGGTACGGCTGGGCGTAAGGCATTAAAGGCAGAGAAGGACAAGGCAGAAGAGAAATATCTTTACTGTTATCTCGATGGCCGTAAAGAGAAAGTTGGCAACTTCCGTGTGGAACCCCCAGGACTGTTTCGTGGCCGTGGAGAGCACCCCAAAACCGGGATGGTCAAGGCGCGGGTTCAGCCTGAGCAGGTTACGATCAATATCGGAAAGGAGGCGACTGTGCCGGCTCCACCACTCGGGCACAGCTGGGCGGATGTTATTCATGACAACACTGTTACCTGGCTTGCAACTTGGAAGGAGAATATCAATGGCAATATCAAGTATGTGATGTTGGCGGCTACAAGTAGTCTAAAGGGGATGAGTGATTTCAAAAAGTTTGAGAAAGCCCGCGAGTTGAAGGTACATACCCCAATCCCAATATTTCAATCATTTCATGAAAACATGACTAACCCTACTTTAGAATCACATAGATCGTATCCGTGAGGATTATACACGAGACCTTAAAGCTGAGCTTATGGCGGACCGCCAAAGAGCTACGGCGATGTACCTCATCGATAAACTCGCACTCAGAGCGGGAAATGAGAAGAGTGATGATGAAGCAGATACGGTCGGTTGCTGTTCACTTCGCTATGAACACATTACATTGGAGCCTCCGAATATTGTGGTATTCGATTTCCTGGGTAAAGACTCGATCAGGTTTTACCAGAAAACCCCTGTTATTCATCAGGTGTTTAAGAACTTGAAGATTTTCAAGAAGGCACCTAAGACTAAGGGTGACATGATCTTTGACCGTCTTGATGTAAGCCATCCTTTAATGCCCCACAATTGAACTGGTATATTCTAACATCACATTTAGACGACTCAATTGAATAAACATCTTCAGAACTATATGCAAGGGCTTTCGGCTAAAGTGTTCCGTACCTATAACGCATCTTGGACCATGCAAGAGCAATTGGACGAGATCCCGAACGAGGGCGCTGTACATGAAAAATATGCCGCATATAACCTTGCCAATAAAAAGGTCGCTATCCTCTGTAACCATCAACGGACTGTGAGCACCACTCATGAGACCATGATGCAGAAACAGGAGGAAAAGGTTTACATTGATTTTCTTATTTCTTTTTTCTTATCTCCGATACTGATAAAGTTCGAAACAGATCAAGGGACTCAGATACCAGAAGCTTCGCCTGAAGAGGATGATTCTTTCTCTTGAGCCAATCCGCAAGAAGAAGAATCCCTCTTTTCTCAAACCCGATCCTGAAATTGATGAGGAATGGATCAAGGACCACCAAGTTTTCCTCATTGAACAGGAGAAAGACCGTATCACCAAGAAGTTTGAAAGGGAGAATGAGAAGCTTCTTGAGAGTGGGGAGAAGGGGCTTAAAGACAAAGAGCTCAAGGAACGTTTACAGATCATTAAAGAGATGGAAGCGGAGTTCAAGACGGAGAATAAAACCGGCAAAATCGATCCTAAACGCGGAGCCACTGTTGAAAAGCTTGAGACCCAGATCCAAAAGATCGAGGAACGGATCAAGAAGCAGGAAACTGAGGCCCAGGTTCGAGAGGACAACAAGACAGTCGCCTTGGGCACCAGTAAAATCGTATGTATTTCCTTCGAGTTTTATGCATTCAATTCCTAATGGCCCAATAGAATTACATCGACCCTCGTCTCACTGTCATGTTCTGCAAGAAATACGACGTCCCCATTGAGAAGATCTTTGCAAAGACCCTGCGGGATAAGTTTAAGTGGGCGATTGAGTCTGCCGATGAGGATTGGAAGTTTTAACCTCCGGTATCCACCATCCCCCTCCTCCCTGGGGAGAACAGAATTCACCCGAAATAAACTATTGCAACATACTTGGATAAATATCGTTTGGCTTTTGTGCTGCTGTGCATATTAATATAGCAGATAACGGGGTAGCAGCATCATAGCAATCGCCCCGCCCCCTATTCTAGAAAATGGGAAAAATGGGAAGCCGGGAGCAGCGAAAAAGCAAAGATAAGGAAAAAAGAGAATCGAACCCTTTCGCTTAAGCTACGTGTAAATTATTTCAGATTCTGCTATTGCTATTTCCTTGCCCTTTTTCCCTTTCTTTGCCACCTTCCCCTTTCCCCTCTCCCCTATCATGTTATGACTATCCATTCACTCCGTTCATCGCTCCCTTTCCTCATTGATTAAAAATTTCTCTTTTTTTCCCAAAATGTCTATCACGCTTGTACCAAAAACTCTATATTTCGTTCATTTTGTCGCTCTATCTCCCCCATACTCTCTCCCCCTCAATTGCTCCGCTTCGTGCGGGGAGAGCAGGAGAAAGTAACAATAGGAAGGCACGAATCTTCACTTCACTTCAATTCATGTAAGTAGCTTATACTTTTCTTTCTCTTTTTCTTCTCCCTCTTATTTTCAACTTTCAATTTTCAATTTTTTCCTTCTACCATCATATCGTCGCGCTTTCTACGTCATAGGCTTCGTATCGTATCTTACCTTATCAATTAGATGTGTGTGTGTGGTTCTTTCTTCTTACCCCCCCCCCCCCCCTCTCTTAACCTTCATAGTGGAGGGCGAAAGCTCGTGGCAAATGGTATCTTTCGGTCAATCGCTTGCCTGTATTTTAGTTTTTTACATTTTTTTTTTTTGTTTGCTGTGGTGCGGTGGTGTGGACAAACTACAAGAGGAATAGGAGTACTCGTAATGTATGGTTTCTTTTCCACGAACTGACGAGACGAACCAAGAGTAGTATCATATATTGTAAATTAGGGCACGGATGGATGGATGGACGAATCGGGACCGGATTGATGGGACGAACTGGGAGGGATGATTGGTCTAGATCGGTTCGGCTGGTTTTTGGTCTTGTTAACCTAGCAATACATTGTGGATGTCGTGCAGTATGATACCGGTATTTGGCTTCGTTCTCCGTCGGGATTCGGTGGTCGCGAGTGAGATGTTGTGGATGGATGGGTGGGTGGGTGAGAAAGTGCTTTTTTCTGGGGTGTGAGGGAGGGTATGATAGAGTGCGGTACGGTACGGTCGGGCGATGGAATGGGTCAGGGGTGCATAATACGAGTACGGTACCGTACTGTGGTGTTGGTGGGGGTTTGTGAAGTTTGGTGCGATGATGGAAAATTGTTGCTGTCGCAGGGTCATGGTCTAAGGTAAGTTACCGGTACTTTAATTGGGATAAAGAATCCTGCAGGCGGGTGGGGGGCACAGTAAAAGTAGGCACTGCGCGTGAAAGGATACGATATGGATGAAATCTTTTTCAATGATGGCGATACGGTACCTGGTATCATACATTTCATGAACGCAGATGTGAAAAGAAGACAAAGCATCATGATATTTCTTTTCTTCCATTTTCTAATCCGCCACATGGAGGAAAAAACAGAAAAGGGAGGAAAGGTTTCTCTCCCTCTACCTCCACAAACCCAGTCCACTTCTCTCCATAATATATAAAAGATGGGAACACGAGGAGTATTTTTTTATAAAAAAAAAAGACCAAATCATCTACTAGCTGCCTCCGCTATAACCTGCCCATTCTCACCATTCTCACTATTCCCCAACTCAATCGGCGGCCACCAATTCAGCCGCCTATAACTATCAATCACCTCCCGCAGCCCCTCCTCCGTTATCTCCGGCACGTGGTACCTGAACCCCGTGACCTTCTCGAAGCGTGTGCCGTCGAGACTGAGGTCGTCGTCTTTGACAAGCTCGTTGTCCAGGTACGGTGTTATAGGACCGGGTCTGGTTATGCCGGCCTCGTTGAGCAGGTCGCCCCACGGTTGGAGAATCTCGTCGTTCTCTTCGTCAACAGCAGAGCCAAGATTCAGTTTGGCAAACGATGAGACAATTGTTCCGTGGAAACCGGTTTTGATGCCAAAGATGTTGGAGATGTGTTTTTGAAGGGTTCCTTGTGCTGTTCCTCCTGGTTAGGTTTCGTGATGCAAAAAAGGGGGGAGGGGGGATGGTACATGTGTCGCCATGATCAACAACGTTGAATATCGGCGTGCTACCCATTGATTCGTCCCAATTCTTCCGACCGGAAGTGTGCCAGTCCGCCGCATGCCATAGTGCCCGGGCAACATCGGTTACGTGTACGGTATGTGTTCGTAGGTCCTTCGTCCAGAGCCACTTCATCTCCTCTTTCAGATAGGCATATACCCTCGCCATGCACAGTATCGTCGCGATAACCTTCGAGCAATATTCTCCATAAACGTTCGCCAATCTTACGATGACCAAGTTAAGCCTATCCACGGGGAAAATCATCCGCGCAAAGTTATGATCAGCAACACGTTATCAAATTTAGCAAACCTTCCCCCTCTCTCCTCTTCATCACCGCCATCAACACCAACCCCCCCCCCTCACCAGGCGAACAAAACAAGCCAACCAAACGACTTCCCCACAACCAATTCACTCATTCTCACCCCCAGTCTCTACCCCACCTGGTTCAGGTTTGCCCTTTTATTTTCATTATTTATTACGCACCCTTCAATTTGTTTTAACTCCTCCTCCGCTTGGAGTCTGTACTTGGCCAACTTCAGCCACGGTTTCAGCCTGTCGGTCTCCTTGCTAGGTTCCCGGTCGCTCTTGTAGACCGCCCCTGTGCTGATCTCGACCCAGCACTTGACACCCTTCCTGGCAGCTTCCTTGGCAGCGGTTGTGGAGAGCTTCAGGGAACGTTGCTTGTATATCTCGTCGTCTTGGGAGTACCTCGTGTCACCTCCGCAATTAAATACGTAGTCCCATGTGGACCCGTCCGGTCGGGTGAACACCCTTTCACATGTATCTTTAAATTTTGGAAGTCGAGTGTTATTTAGCTCTTATCACTTGTTTTTCCCCCCTTATCCTCGCCCTCGCCGCACATGCTCTGCTACAGCCCAGTTGGCAATAGCGGGGGTAGCGGCGGTGTATAGGAAAGGGGAACAAGCATTTGGTGTGCATTGGGGAGGGAGGTACATACGTTCTCGCGAGAGATCACCTTGTTGAAACCTCTCCAATGTGCAGACATCAGTAAACTCCGGTGCGAGCCACGCTAGCTGGGGTAGCTGCTTATCCACTATTCGGATTTCGGATGCGAGGTTGTTTGTGTGGATGTATTTTGCCAGAAAGCGTCCTATGAAACCTATTCACACTCGGAAAATAAGTAGGCGAATAAGGAAGCTTTAGTAATCCGGCCGACTAGCAGTGATTGGCGGGAGGGAGTAGAGCGTGTGTCCAGGGGAGGGAGGGGGGGAGAACCTAGGCCTCCTATGATCAGAACGCTGGGCTTCGTATCTGTGCCTGCTGGTGCTGGTGCTGTCACTTCTGTCATTGTGTCTACCGCAGGTCTTTGGTTTGCGGTTTGTGGTTCCTTTTAGCTTTCTGGTCCTTTTAAGTGGGGAGGTGGTTGCTTGGTGTGTGTGGTTTGGGAGGGGGGGTCATGCAGTTTATGTAAGATTTGATGGGGAGGACAGGACGGGCGGGATGTATTCTCGAAGACGAGAGAAGGGGGGGAATACCCTGGAGAGGTGTGGGTGGGTGGATGGCAGGATGAGATGGTTGGATGGATCGATTAGGGTAACAAGGGGAAAGCAGAGCAATGAGATGGAAGAGGGAAGGGAGATGGGACCGCAAGAGAGGGGGGCTTCCCGGTCGTGAATCTACTCCGCCCAGGTGCAGCACGGGGAGGGGGTGGCTAGAAGGTGGGGTTTTTGACATTTGTTCGCTGTTTACTATTATCTGCTTTTTATACCCCACCGGGCGTTTTATCTACCGGTACTTGTATGATTGCTATTTATTTGGCCGTTCCTCTCGGCATCCGGGGAACTGCACGGGTGTGAAGTGGGTTGGTTTTTCGACCGAGAAAGTCTCGTCTCTCCGTCTGCTGGTCCGAGAGGGAGAGCAAAAGTGGAGGAGGGAAGAGAGGAACAGAAGGCGGATGCGGATATGATATCGAGGCAATCGCCCGGAACTATGATCAATCACGGCTAACTTGATAGTACCGCGCAACACAGTCGCACCCCACCATCCTGGACGGCCAAAATCCAGGAATTTCACCCGGTTTAGCGGGGGCTCCGGAACAACACCACTATGATACGATGGGAAATGGAAAGGTGGTATCATACCGTACGGTACCGGTAACTTATTGGGTAGAGAGGATCGGGGCGGAGACCTCATACCCGTCCCCGGCTGTCTCCTGACAACTATTCATAGGTACTGTTGACTTCAGAGAACCCCCTTGTGCATACAACCCTGCCCCTGAAGCTCTTTCTCCTTATCACCACCCGTAGGGGACATCATGGGCTTGGGCCAACGTTATTTTTTCGCACTGCGCTGATGAGATCCGATGTTGGGAATAGTCACTCCTCCAACCTGGATCACCCCTTGTCGGCAACACTACCTTTTTCCCCTTTGGGTACGCTTCCTCTGGGGTTACCAGGAGACCCGGTTTAGCAGGTAAAGTTCCCCCAGGAACAGGGGGGGAAGATTGCTCAGAATTCCATGCGAATCCGAAAACCCCTTTTCCGGTTCGACGTGCCAAGTTCTGTGGTGATTTGGAGGTGCCACAGATTTTGTACCTGTACGAGTACTGTACCGTACGGTTCGGTGAGGCTTCTGGTTCAGCATGATTGGTATAGCGGGGTCCGACTGTACTCGTACTACCGCATATACGAGTAGGAGAGCAGAGCCTGGCCCGGGGGTGTTTTTTTTTCTTTCTTTTTTTTCTCTTTCCTTGTATTTCCTGGGGGGGGGAATTGGTGCCAGGCGGCCAGCGAGCAGTCCATGTCCGACCAACGGTGACCAACCAACTAAAGTTTAAAAGCCCCCGAAAGCGAACACGGACCTGTGGATTGGGGGGAACTGGCGGAAACGAAAAGGGAAGCTGGGCGAGATGTAGTGGACGCTATTCATGTTGTGGAGGAAAAAACGCCGGCATGCATGGCAAGAAAATTGGACCACTCCTGTTGAATGAATAGCATCAAGGGGAAAGTAATTGGAGCAGCAACGGCACAATGTGGGACACCCTCTCCCCCCGACCAATTAACACCTCAACTTGATGAGGTGTGAATTGGGGGAAACCTTCTGGCCAATACATGCCGATATGGGGACATCGGTTTGCCTGCCGTCGGGGCGATCTGTATACAGTACAATAAAGGACAAATTACGGTTATCATACTGTATCCACGACACTACCTGGACCAGCGCAATATACTAACATCGTACAGACGCGGCACTCTGCTCTTTTGTTCTCTTTCCTTTTTCTTCTCTACCCTTCTATTCTCGAATAGGGGGACGTTACATCTACACAGAGATAGAGGGTGTATCTGATGTTTGCACAACAGTATTCATAAAAAAGAAAAGGCATGTATCTTGGGGACATTCACGTAACCACATATCCAGTATCATGCCATACCATACCACATATGGCTCATAGGATGGCGGCATTACAGGGCGCCACTTAACTCAGCATCCCCCCCTCCATCTTGGCAGGATCGGGCTGCCGTCTCGGTGTAGTGTGTCGGTGTCCGGCCCTACGTGGGAAGCGCCAATGCGGATCTTCACCAAGGCCATGCGGCAGCGTGAGAGGAGAGTATGGTAATCGAGTATGATACCGGTATTGGTTAGCAGGAGGTGTTGACCAAATCTGCGAGCACGACCGAATCATGTAAATACTTTTACCTGGCTGGATGGGCAGACCACAGATGTTTTATAAACGTATTTTATAAACAGACTGATAGGGTATTCCGCTGAAGGAGGACCCCTTTGGCTCCCACAGTCATCCTGGGCCACCCTGGGGCTAGGGCTATCTCTCTTGCTAAAAAAATTACTTGCCGGGGATGCCGTAGGCATCTGTTATGGTGTGGTCAGAAATTCCCCTAGGCTTGGGCGAAAATGCTCGACGACATTGCAGATACGTTTCGGATTCTAGAAGCAGCAGTAAATTAGCTGGTGAGTTAGGCTTTTATGAATTCTCCCGGGTTAACTATGAAGGCCCGCCTGACCCTCAAACGCCATACTAGTACCCCCGGCGATACAAGCGCTAGTGGCCAATACTGGTGTCCTTGGCTCTTAATGGCCAGGATGCCTCGCCAGAGCATAACCTTGGCACGGTTAGTAGCTAGCCGTCGCTTGATACCAGTTATCCCTAGTGACCTATAGACTTCTGTAATGTAAGCTGGAGCTATCGGTGATGGAAGGGAAAAACGAAAAACTATTGATACGAGCGCCGTCAAGCCCTATAGTAGTGGAATACTGGCCAAGGATATAGGGTGCAGTATCCGGCGCGAGTGATATCACACCCCCTGATCCCAAACCTACCACGACCTCCTCTAAGCTACTATTGTGGCAAGCAAAAGACCCTTGTCACACACGGGGATGCTCTGCTCTAGCAATCGTAGCCAAACCCATACCGCCTGCTCAACATCCTGCTACCATATGCACTGTACTTGTGCAGTTTGCAAAATAGGATGGTGCATAGACTGCACGTATCATAGTTGGATCCGCCACAGCAAAGTCACTCAACAGCTGTTACCACCACCATTCACCCACCGACCCACCCTTCACAGCCCTCCATCCATCCATCAATTTCATTCTTTTGAAGGGGGAAAATGTCCGGATTGAGACCCCGATTTTCTACGGTTACAGTGCTCCGCCCACGCATGACCGAACGTTTGCACCCCGCATGTACGAAACGCACGAGCGCAGTTCTGGATCCTCACTCAATTGTCCGATACTGCCGGCAGGCCGCTGCGGAGGTCAAGTCTTACGCTTACAGCGCCAATTCTTCGCAACGGGTGAGTAAACCGGGATCTCACCCCAAAGTGCTGTAAGTAATTTGTATAGCACTACAGTCTAGAGCACAGTACTGTACGTACAGCACTGTGAATCTCCTAGGACTCACTACCAGATTACCGGTATCGGCGGAAGTCAGCCCACCAGCTAGTCCACGATAGGTTTGGTTGGACAATTTAGGAGGATTGCGAATACCGGTTAGTGAGATCCGACATAATATTCCAATGGGGCGATCTCACATCTTTCTCCGGAGGACGCTAATCCACCCCCGGTAGCCCTTGCCTCCGAACCCGGAGACTACAGGGTTGGCAGAGACTGTGGATTTCGAGTGATTTTGCGATGCTGTGCTAGTACTGTGCTGTGTACGCAAGGACACGGTAGACTACGCCGAGGGTGGCAGGTCGGCATGATCTGGTGTGGATTACAGTGGTATGAAGCGGTTCTAGTGTACGAGTACTCGTACAGTACGGTGCTCGTACCGGTCGGTACGAGTAGGAAGTACCAGAGTGGATACAGGGGACGGACGGAATACCCCGTTTGATGGAATGCCCGTCGGCAGAGATTTTTTTTTCCCCGGGGGTGGGGGAGGACCTCCCGGCCGACAGACGAACATCTCCAGTCAAAACAAATGAGTCCTCATAATCTCGGTCACGACTTGCTTAAATCGCCGTACTGTACGAGTACTCGTACATCGATTTCCACAGTTCAAACTTTGGGGTTCAAGCCAACCACCACGAAATATATCTTATCCCGCCACGGGGGGAGCTCCCGATAAGTTTCTGAGTCCCTGATGATTGCAGATCTTCTGGCGGAGTTTCAATTCAATAATTTGGAATCACGACCACAATTAAGTCATACTGAACCCACCTCGACCGGTCAGATACAAGCACAGCTGCGAAGAACTTTGAATGCGCCATAACCTGAATTGATAGCGTTGTCTCCCCAAATGTGATACCATCATAACTTACATGGCCTTGAATAGGGTAGCAGGGATGTAAGTTTGGCCTGACAGAATAAACCTCCCAAATCCATAGCAGACATTCATCGAAATTATACCCTCCTGGAACTTGAACCGTTGAAAACGCCCATTGCTGGGGTTCCACAAACACGGGTATCGTGTGATACTCCCCTGTCCTTGCGCCGGCCGGTGCTGTATCGGCTTTCTGTTAGAAGGGGAAAGGCTTACTATTTCTTGCAGTGGATATGCTGTAAGGGGTGGTCGGACGCTAAGGAAAATTTTTGTGCGGTAGGGGAATCTCGGCTTATATGCGATGATTCTATTTTTTTTTTTTTTGTTCCCTCCCCCCTCTCTTGACAAGGTGCTGGCTGTCTCAGGCGAGAGGTACTTGTATCGGTACCCCAAAACAGGGATTAAAAGGAATAGCCCCCATACCCAGGAGCTTCTCGCCTGGGACGAGTACTCGAGTAGTTGGGGCGAAGGCATGAGAAACCGGTTTGGGATTTCAGGTGCAGCGGCAGGAAAAAAGTTAACTGTTGGCGCATTGCACAGTTGCACAAATTCTGGGGTGTTGTCCTGCAGCACGGTACGTGTTGACTTGATCTGACTTGACTTAAATTTACTGTGTTGGCTTGCAGTGCGGTGCCGGTATTCGGTGCTTCTAGAGTGGTATTAGGTTGGACGAACGGGTGGGCGGCGGGAATATGATCGAGGGGTGATAAATGCAGCACTCGAGCAAGTGCCGGTCGGCACGT